ATCGAAGTTTAAATAAAAGCTGAGGATTTATCGGTAAACGGTGTCAACAGACTTGGAATAAAACGCAATTTCTTTTCGTAGTGACTATGAGTATCGCCTATATTTATCAACTAGGCGATAAAAAGTTCGCGCCCTTTTATCTCGAAATCCTCGTCGAGTCGCACCTGACGCGATTCCTACGGTGCAGAGAGTAACCCTGCCCAGCCAAGAATCCCAGAATTTGAACTTTACGAATCTAACTTTCAACCTACTCCGTTCAGCAACGTTTCAAAATCGCAAGTTAAAATAAACAATCGTCGGTGGACATTGTTAAGAAACATACAAGACGTGGGCTAATCAACCCAGAGGTCGTAAAGCTATCATTATTTTTGACCGTACCGTTCAACTTTATCCGCGGTTTCACCTCAAACGAGATTTCAATTCGTCGATCGTTCTATTAATAATGCTCGTGCTCCATTTAAATCGTACCGTATCGCGATCGAAGCGCAGAACTTGACGTTTCCGCGGAGATATACTTGCAAATCGCCCGAGCATAGTTTGTACACGTCCGCGGGCACTCCTTGCCGCGAAATTCTGCTTTGGAAAACTTGCACGTTCTACTTAATCCAGCGTAATGTCCGTCATTGACGACACGATCTACTATAAATAGATTTTATCATGAATAAACTGCTCGCGTCACGTGACATCGTAAACAGTTTACTGGTGCATGTAAATGAAATATTCCTGAATCGTGCGTTTATCTGAACATTTTTTTCGATGGTCGAGAGGGTGTTCGAATCTTTCGTCGTGTATATTAACCAGCGAATTCAGAGTTAATTTTATTTAAGAATCGAGGAAGAAATTGGAAAGATCGTCGAGTCTTGTTCCGATCGAAAAGCGTCTTAGAATTGGGTTAAATCGGACAATGTCCTAAACGAAACGGGCTAAAATGCGAGAAACGGGTCGGTTTCGCGACTGGCATCCGCTATACTTGGTTTCCTCTCCCCTTCGCTGATTCCCCCACTCGGAAACTGATTCTTCGGCGGGTAATGGCGATTGGAGGCGCGTTCGGTTTAGTCGCGTGCCGAGACGCCACGGAATGAGAACGTCTCCGTCAAAGTAGCTGCGTGAAACGAGCAATCTTCTCGACGACACGCACCCGGCAGACAATCGGTCGAAACGTAGCGACTGGTATCGCATGATTTTCGAGCGTAAACGTACCGGAATACAAGATCCAAGCACGTTCTCCCAACCTCGAAACGCAACAACTAGACACGCACGCGATCGTTAGAATCGAAGAAGAAACGTCGTAACGTCCACAGTGGCAGGATTACGGATTAAAAGTCACGCTCTTATCCGGTGTTTGCTCTCTGGTTAAAATTTTCATCGTTGCTCGTGGAAAGAACCTGAACTTGACCAGAATCTGACGAACTCTCTTCCACTTATCCGTCGCAGTGATCTAGATCTCCAAAGCTGCTCGATCGTTTGGAAACCTCGTCTGAATCGTGATTTTGTGACTTGGAGTTCAAACTTTGCTCCGTTTAATATGTACTTGGTAGTGCCTAACAGTGGTCGTTACTATTATGGTGCTAATTCGAACCTGGATTTATGGATCTTGTCTCCGAGACTACGAAGCTGACATTTACGCGCGTTGTTCGGTGATATCGAGTGATTTTGTTTCGTGACGGTAATGTTGGTGTTTGGTGGAAATAAACGAACTAGAGGATCGTTAGTGATTCGTGATTCAGGGGGATTTGTGTACGGGATCGTTGGACCCGACGTTCGAACAAACGTGGCGTTTTTCTGCGTGCACAGGTGAATCGTAATTTCGAGACACGTCTCACCCGTACCATGTTCCTTGACACGGTATCAATATTAATGATCGGCGACATTCCAAATTTCGGGTTTTGAATATTATTTGTAAACAACGCGAGAGTTCGCGTTTGGTGTCCGATCGTCGAGGAACCAAGCATCGATCAACGGTGATCTAGAGGACAGATGTTTTGAATTCGCGATATTTAAGAGACATCATGGCGCCTGCCACCGCCTTAGATTGGTCAGAACCGCGACAACATTGGCGTTATCCGAAATTTTGTCCATCCGGACAAGAAAAACACGAGCGGGCAAAGAGCGCGATGGAGTTGAGCAGCAAAGAAGCCAACACCGCGTATAAAAAGTTCTGCAAATTCCTACGCCGACTAGGAAACAAGAAACGTAAGTTCCGTTTCGAGGATGAGAAATAATCTTTGTTTAAGATCGTGAGATAATACTTGGAACTCGACCGAACGTCACGTTGATATTTTTAACCATTCTTAGAAATGTCCTGATCGTAAAAGTGTTTCCATAAAATTCTCAGAATTGAAAAGTATTGTGATAGGATATTTTTAGCCAGAGTGTTCGTACGATCGGTTACCGAAAACCAACGAATCGAGTGATATTTAAGAATATTTCAAGAGTATTTAGACACGATCGACGAAGTCGATAATCGATCGTTGATCTAGAAAATTTCGATTGTCGTCGTCCAGGGACCGATCCCGTCGAACGATTTAAGCAGAAATAATTAAAAATGCGCGTAACATATGCGAGAAAGGACATGTATACTTGACGAGTCACGACCCGCTGACATTTATCCCTTGTTATTCATATTTATTTTCGTCGTGTGCCTCCTCGTCCCACGTAAATTTATTTTTTCATAAGTTGACAAGACTTCGTCAACTTGTGGGAAAAAATCCGATCCAGAATCGTTGTTCTCGAGAAACGGATGGCGTTTCGCAAAGTTCATTTGCAAACCGCGTTCCGAAGTTAGAACTTTCCGCGAACATTACACCGGTAAAGTTCCTTACAACTGTTCAAATATTTATACGCACGGTAGAACGTGCTCGATAACGTTTCGCTATTTGTGTGTCCACTTTGCTCGAGACTCGAGAGAACTGCTATTGCAAAAGCATTTAATGCCACCTAATTATTACACAAATGCTAAGGAACAGATTAATATCTTAGTAAACGTCTCGTTGCTTCGAGTCGAATCTGTTAAATCGTTCCATAAATAATGGAAGATCTATATATTCTACTTGGGCTTGTTATAGTTATCAGTCGTCTGTGAGTTTTCTTCGTTTTCAACGACCTTTCCATTCTAAAGTAGGATCTAGAATAGGGGTGGAAAAGTTTAGAAATATTTTCTTCAACTTTTGACTTTGTCAACTTTTCCGCAAACGCGTTTGTCACTCGGTGGTGTATTGTTTACGAGCAGGCCAGAGGAAAAGGTCGTGTCAAGATGCGCGCGTAACACGGCAAATGGTGGCGGGAACCTGCATCCGTCCGTATCCCTTGGTTTGCTGCGCTTTTTGTCGCAAGCTGGATTTAGCCGGCTCGGATCCAAGCCTCGGCAACGCTTTTGCCAGAGATCGACGCCGTTTGACCCACTTTTCATCTTCGCGCGTCCCTAAGGACCTGCTCTCCTCCCCACCAGAAACAAGGAAAACGTTTGCGAACGCTCCTCGACTCGTTTAACGAATTGTCGTGAAAGTTTTATCCGTTCTCGTTTATTTTGTCCGACGATTAACCACCGACAAGCAAGAATTACGATACGCCTTCCTTATCGGTCCAGACGATAAGATATTTTTTACAGATTTGATGAGACGATGATAGTCGCTTGTAAAGCTTGGAATATTCGAACGAAAAGCAAAAAGAATTTATCTCCAAAGTACACTTTTCTATCATATTTTACGGTATTGCTACGCACGCCAATTCTCTTGCCACCTATACTGCAGCAAAGACACCTTCTATTTTACTCGTCGAAGGTAACGAATAGCTCCATAGCAACCTTGGTTGGCCAATTTATCCTGCCTTGATTATAGTCGCCATCTCGCCCTGTACGAGAGTCTTGTTCAATCTATATTTAGGCGTCTACGAGGTAGTAGGATACCAAGTGTACATTACGATCTCGACACAATGAACTTTCGATGAAAATGTTACCGTCGACGCGGGCTTGAGTTTGTTCAATTTTTAATCGGAACAATTGAATATTCAAATGTTCTCGAACAAAAAGAATAGCAACGCTCTGAAAGCTAATCATTATTCCTAATCTGAAGTTGGCCCTTGGATCGAAAAGAAAAGAGCGTACTCTACGATAACACTCGCTCTTGGTACGAAGCGAAAAATAGCGACACAAAGGGAAAGGTTATACCGAGGAAAATGTTCGCGAAATGTCAAGAAATAAAGCATGGTCCACGTGGCATCTCATCGTCGGTTGCACTCGTTCGGATGATCCAGCGAACGACGGTAAACCGCGATCCTCGAAGATCGTGCATACATACATGGGGCTAGACTCGCCTTGTAAATCGCGAAACAGCCTTCGCGTATTTCGGTTGTACAAATTTTCGGTTCTCGATTATGGTGTACAGTTTGCTCGACGGATTATTAGAGACGTGAAATATATGACGCGAGGTTATTTTCAGCTACAGTTCAATGAGAAAACCGGTCTGTAAACGAGGACCTCGTATTATCCGTCGTTGCATTTTATCAAGGTTATCCCTCTTGTAGACAGCGTTCGAGCGGCTAGCAATAGAATTACACGCGTTCAAGAACACGCCCGTACAAACTGGTACACGATGTACGCGAATTGAATCGAAGGTACTTTGATGGTTATTCGTTATTCCGTTGATAAATGTGCGAGAGCACAGTTTCGTTTAACAATTACACCAGTTCGAGTACCTTTATCTATTCCAAAGTTGTAAAAACCTGTCGACAACTTCTCTCAGGTTGTTGCATCGATAATACTACTGAACAAGTAGGTACAGGAACGCGCGAATAAAATATCAGAATGTTGTTTACGATTAGTCTTGAACGTCATTAAGATATCTGTGTAGGTGTTTTCATTTCTCGAAAAGTTTTTGCTGCTTATGATAATGCCTTGAAGGAGCAATACTTGGTAAAAACAGTAGCTTTTAGTTACCTGCTTCCAATCGTACCTTGTAACCTTCGCTGTACTGTAGCGTTGTGATTTTCGATTGTTTCTATGGGTGGTGCGATGTACAATGCAGGCAAGGATGGCAGCAAAGTGACGACCGTGGTAGCTACCCCTGGTGCAGGCCCAGATCGCCCCCAAGAAGTCGCCTACACGGACACAAAAGTAATCGGTAATGGCAGCTTCGGCGTTGTGTATCAAGCCAAACTCTGTGATACAGGAGAAATGGTTGCCATCAAGAAGGTTCTGCAAGACAAGCGATTCAAGGTAATAAAAACAACAGCTTGAACGTAACCCTTCGACCCTACAAGTTCGATGACCGAGTCGAGAAATTGTCGGTTCGAATTAGACTTATCGATGCATCGAATATTTGCGTAGAACAATAACAAGGCCAGAGATACAATAATCCCAATTGCTGATAATTAAATCTAAAATTGAATACAATAAATATTGACAGGAAATCGTTGTATCAACAAATTATATTTTTGTGTTATTTATAGAACCGAGAATTACAAATCATGCGACGTCTTGAGCATTGCAACATCGTGAAACTAAAATATTTCTTCTACTCTAGTGGGGATAAGGTAATTATATAATTGTATCTTTTTAATGCGCGAATCGAGCAAAATTTTAAGCGTTCGTTCTTTGTGCACTCAAACGAGGTGTCTCGCAATTTGTGAAGCTACCGAAAAATAAGTACAATATGTAAAATAATATAGATAGTCGAAACACTCCGGGGCGTGGCTCACGAATCTTGGGAGCTAATGTTTTCGAAAAGACGCAACTCCACCTATGCTTATTTTTTAACGAGAAGTCACAGATTATTAGACACTTGGTAGATATGCAACACGAAACAACGTCGGAGTAAAACATTTCCTCTTGTCCTCATTACATCCTTTCGAGTAATGAGAATCAGATCTCTATTCAATGAATTACGTCTATAAGTTAATTCTAAGTGTACGTATTAGTTTAATGCATGCGGCATTGTTGTGTTATTTTGTAGAACATCTTAAACGCAACTAATCCAGTTTTTCATGTGGACGTAAGTTAAAAGCGTACCCAGTAGTTTGAAAGAGTCCTTTTCAGAAAATTTAGGCATATTCTGCTTTTAAATATAGTCGAATGACAGAAACGATAATCGTTTTCTTCCCTGAATGATCGACGATTAACATAGAACTTTTTGAGTCTAGTGGCTAACGCAGCTTTGCTAGTTTTAGAAAACGATCTTCTGGAATAGTGTGTTTGCGAATCAAAGGTACCATCCACCACCCACGCATAAACTGCCAATACGAAATTCACACTAATCGACTTTCATAGCGGATCGCGCCGATCTAGAGACATAAAATAATCTGCTACTGAACGACGTGCCTTTTAGACAACACACTATACGAATATATACTCGGGAATCGTTTGGTAATAATCGTTTTACAACTTCTCTTTTAGAAGGACGAGGTTTATCTGAATCTAGTCCTGGAATACATACCCGAAACTGTGTACAAAGTCGCTCGACATTATAGTAAAAGCAAGCAAACGATACCGATCAGTTTCATTAAGGTAAGTGATGAGATACGATAGTAATTTTGTTATTCAACAGTGCGCGATAAATTCAGGCGTGTCGCGTGAATCGAAGACTCGAGCAACGCGGTTGCATAATTTTAAGGAAAAGAAATTAACACGAAACTCTGTTTCTGTTTTTCCAGCTGTATATGTATCAACTGTTCCGTTCCCTAGCGTATATACATTCCCTGGGGATTTGTCATAGGGACATTAAGCCACAGAACTTATTGTTGGACCCAGAAACTGGCGTTCTGAAGCTTTGCGACTTCGGTTCTGCCAAGCATCTGGTTTTTGGGGAGCCTAATGTGTCTTACATTTGCAGTCGTTACTATCGCGCGCCCGAACTGATCTTTGGTGCTATTAACTACACTACAAAAATTGGTACGTTTACAGACGTATGGCACGGTAAAACTTACATAATATAATGAAGAAATTCTGTTTTCTTCGTAGACGTGTGGAGCGCTGGTTGCGTATTGGCAGAATTATTGCTCGGTCAACCGATATTCCCCGGGGACAGCGGTGTAGATCAGCTTGTCGAGATCATCAAGGTTCTCGGTACACCGACACGCGATCAGATACGTGAGATGAATCCAAACTATACCGAATTCAAATTCCCACAGATTAAGTCGCATCCTTGGCAAAAGGTACCCTATTATCTAACTTGTTAATCGTATATCAAACAAATCGTAACAATAATAATGACACTGTCCACACGATATATGTTAGGCTCTCTCGATCTATGTATTTTTCCAATTTGTAACTGGCTATCGTTTTTCACACGTACATTTTCATCGTTCTCGTGACTAAGAGCAGCCGTAAGAAAATCAGAATGAAAGTAATAGAGTTACTCGTTAACCATCGTTGCATGAGAAAAAAAACAAAACAAAACGAGTCAGTCGTTTATGGGTAAGGTTCTGTGAGTCTCGTTCCTTCTAACCGAACGGTTTTCCTACACCTGTCGTGTTACAATCACATTCATCAATACATGTACTCGTGGTTACAGTTTATGCTTCAGCGAATGAGTGGTCTAAAGTGTTCCACGGAGCACCAAAAGATTAGAGTAAGTGGTCCCTGTTGAAACACAAGGTTTATTTCATTTATATGGCTGGCAAATATTCCTTTTTTACTCTCTGGCCCATTACACTAACCAATATAACCAACTTTTCAGCATCTGAACGGTTATACGTAGGATACATGCAATTATCGCTAATCGATCCGTCGAACGGAGGATGACCAACCAAAAAGAAAACCTTCATCCGATCTTGCATTATATAAATCACTCGACGTTCTCCATTTCGAAGTCGTGTAGTATCCATTTTATATATCGCATCATCGTCATTTTCATTTTAACGTTACTAACCAACTATTGTTCTTTTTTTTTTTTTTCATTTTTTTTCCCAAACAATATGTTGTGATTACTCAAAACTCTTGACATATGTATCACTTACTCTAATGTTCTGGTGGTAATCGGAATCTGTGTTTTCCAGTGTCTAAAGAAAAATATGCAAATTCGATGTTGATTCATTGTTGCAACGTGTAAGAGTGACGAAAGGTTGCCTGAAGTTTGTAATTATCCGATATTCCTAAGTTTATTGTTCTATTGTTTATGTTTTTATGTATCTCAAGTGTATCTTCGTGGTACAGTTCCTGTTACAGTTATCAGATGTGGAACGTGTAGATGGTTTTCCGCAGAAATCTCTTTTTTATGTAAATATCTTTCATTAAAGAATAGTAGATACAGATGACTGGTTTATTGCCAGATTTTATCAGTAAACTTTACACCGGAATAATTTCAGAATTAAGCATCTCATATTACTAATACAATGAAGGTTCTTAAATAAGTTCTTTGACAAAATAAAATTCACCTTAGTCCCCGATGTAACAATCTATACATGTTTCTCGTTTTAATGCATGTAAACGATCGCAAGTCATAATTTATAGAACATTGAAGTTGTTGAATTTAATACAGGACGTTGGATTAGACACAGCGTCATTCTCCTGTGCAACGACAGCAGTCTCCTCCCCCGCATCATAAAGAAAACTTTGCAAAAAGTAAATGAACGGAATGTTTTATTTGAACAATCATATATCATATTCGACAGGTCAGTGGACCTTTTTGTAAAGGAAATCTTTAACAGTAGAATTAAAAGCGTAACAAACATCGAAGATATTCTTACCACGTTCACAATCCCATGCTCCGTATACGAGTCGTAGCGACGTGATAGATATTAGACAGGCCGTTGAAAGAGGCCAGCCAATAAAGTGTGCAAATGCTTCTGAACCTTTATTCTAATCTGTGTTCATTTAAGGTTGAAACTTTACATAAAAAGAACTTATTCAATGACCTAATATAATGTCTAATACACTTATAGTATGAACTTCATCGAATGTAAACAACACGTGTTGCTACAGTTTTATCGCTTTATCACAGAACTTCGTACGGTCTGTGTTGCCATGCGAGTTGCTAGTTTCTTCTTAGTCACAGAGATTAGAAGTTTAAACGATAGGAATCTAACAGCGTGATCGCAATGATTTCAGGTCTTCAGGGCACGCACACCCCCGGAAGCGATGGATCTGGTCGCCCGGCTATTGGAGTACACGCCGTCGTTACGAATGACTCCGCTGCTAGCGTGTGCGCACTCGTTCTTCAACGAGTTGCGAGAACAGGGCACACGATTGCCAAACGGTCGGGAGCTTCCGCCATTGTTTGACTTTACAGAGCAAGAGCTGCGAATTCAGCCTGCTTTAAATTCGACCCTAATACCGAAGTACATGCAATCTTCGGACAGTCCCGGAGGCCAATCGGAAGCCACGAGTGCTGCCGCGGGGGCTAGCGGTAATTCTAGTGATAATAACGTCAGCACCAACACACCCTCCAGTACACAGAATACAGACCCCAGCCAATCGAATATGGCTTAAGTTGCTTTATTTTTTAACGTTATAAACTGAGAGAATTCACGTTAGAGTTAGCCTTAACGGTGGCGAGATGAATGGAAAACCTGATCTTCTGAGGAGGATGTCCCCCCCGACCCTCAACCCCCCAAAACCTCAACCCTAACCCGTTGTAAATTGAACTCAATGGAATGGCGATACGAAGTGGTCTTTGAGCTTTGTTCGCTTACACATATAGTAACAAAAATGATTCCCTTTATAATGGGCTAGCTAAGGACACGACTCCAATAGCGTACGAACGCTTGATTGCCACCTTATTGCCAAGTTGAATTCAATGTATATATATATAGGAAACTGGCCCGTAACCTCTTTAAACTATAATTGCTATAAAAAAAAAGCGAAGTTTTCTAGTTGAAAATGTGTAATCTATAACGTCTAGTAGCGCGTTAACGTCGCTTGCGTCGTCATTTTATTAAAAAAAAAAAGAAAAAAAAAGATAAGGAAAAAACTGCGCGAAATCAGCTTGATGAATGTCAATGAAAAAAATTGTTGGAGAAAGGATTACGATGATCGCTACACTCTCGACTTGCAAGACATTTCACTCGATAAGACTGAAAACTTGCGTTTTCCACCGTGCGTATATTCAACGACAAGATAATGATTCTCTTATATTACACCGGTTCGTATTTCGTACCGAGCGAAGTAACCTGTGGATGGAACATTCGGTGTAGAAATATTTTTTATTGTGTTTAAATTCTAACGAGCATCGTCGCTGGTATTGTTGATCGTGAATCAAAGAAACGAGATCGAGAAACATGGAAAATAAAATATTTTACGCAGAGAGTTTCAATGGAATGCATACACACACACAGAGACACACATACACACACACACACACACGGACACAGACAGACACATGCACGCACGCACACGGGTATTTGCATGCACAATCTCTATTTATCGTAAGATGAATTTCGTGATGCGGATACGCTGAATATACTAGCACAGATAAACAGAACCCATAAAATTCGAGAAAAACAACGGAAGTTTCTATTGTTGAGACATGATACAACTGCAAAAAAAATATTCATGTCCGCCGGTCATGCCTCAAGGATTCGATTAGTTAAACCCTCCACTATTAAGGACATTACGATACCATAGTACTATTACGAATATTACGATTGTTACGTATCTCTCACAAAAATTAACTAGACGCACGTTTTCAAAATTTTTCATTCTTCTCGACAAACGTCTACGCAATTAAGTGGAGCGTTTTATTTTTTAAACCACACGCAATATTTGACATAGGATTGTTTGGCGGCGCGAAAAATGAACGTTTCATTGTCTACGTTTAACGTGCAAGACTTGTACGCGTCGTACTCTGCAAAGTAAACTAAATTACAAACTTCCGTGCTGTGGATCGCCATATACATTACTGTATGTCCGAAGTACCAGTCATACAGTGCTTAAAATTGTTGATTGTCTTCTCTGTATAGTTGATTTGGTTTTACGCGCAAAGTCAAGAATTTTGTTCTAGGAAACGTGGACCTCGAAATTAAAATCGTATAGGGTACCGAGGTATACCGTGTATACAAAGAATTGTGTACATTACGCATAGTGTTGACAAACCTGTGCAGCTGGACCTTCGGAACATGTATAACTAGCCACTCATACATCTACATATCATTGCGTCGCAAAAGTAATAGAAGGGAGGGAGGCTGCCGATAAAAAACAAGTCTAACCAATTCAGTTCCTTTTTTAGAGAAAGGACGAAACGTTAAGGAAACAAACAGCGATAGACCGAGAGGAAGAGAGGGAGAGAAAGGAAGCGTGAGTGAATGGAACAGAAAGAAAGCGGAAGCAAGAGAGTGAGAGATCTTAGCATTCGTTTTAGAGTTTTATGAATGTTGATGATGTAACTTAAGTTTTAAACAATTAACCAGGTTTAGTGATGTACCTCATTACTAAGAGAAATTACGTGAATTTATTATTTCCCCCCTCTGGTCCGAAAGGAGAATATGTAATTTTGATATAATTGGGAATGATCGTCACAATCGAAAAAATTATTGTTTATGTTTTAACATAAAGCAAAACAGGATCTAACGAGTTACTGATCATAGAATTTTGTTGGCATTGTCACGGCTCTGCATAAATACGTTATTTATTTTAGAATCTTTTTTTTCCCCCCGCTGTGAAATAACGGATAACTTAGTGAAATGTCAGACGAGCTGCTCACGATGCTTAGAACGAAGCTCGATGGACGTAAATGTATAGTTTGACTTGTGATCAAAAAAAAGTAATTCTTTAGATTTAAATTATTTATGTGCTCCTGTAACGTACAGCTGGCTTGATGTGTCTTCATCCTCATCAACCGATACTATTATAAACAATACAACCTAAGCTATACGTTAGGATGTGGTTGCTTAAGAGATGCAAACCGTTCAATTAATTACATAGCGCTTCTTTCACATTTTCAGGCCGGTAGAAATGCTAAATTCAAAGACAAAAAGAAGAGATCCCGAATCTAGCTGTAAAATTAGACAAAAAGAAAAAAAAGTCTAAAAATGCATACCAAGTTTAAATCGCACGGCTTCAATATAGATTGTTGGTTATTTATCGTAATTATTATTAATAAATAAATTCATCAATTTAGTTTGATTTAATCTTTCTCATCTCGTCTTAATGCAAACAATAATAATGTACACAATTACTCGACTCGATGTCCAAAACGGTGACAGGTAGTGACTTCTATAATTGAAACTACGATTTTGTACATTCAAACACGCTTGGAAATCTTTATCATGTCAATCTTTCGCATGTCGATACGCGAGATAGGCTAAATCTCGGTGTATAGTCACAGTTAAGGTAAATAATTACAGAAGAGTAGCTTATGGTAACAAAGAAAAAAGAAATGGCGAATCATTTTACAGATTTATCTATGGAGAATTAAGTGCACAGTTACTGGCTCATCGACTAGATCGCACGCTAGTTACAGTGGATTAATTTTGTTTATAATTTCGTTGTATTCTTCCGAAACTTGGATGCTACTCGATGACACACATACAAGAAAATAATAGTGAAAAAAATCATGTAGGGAAGAGCCCGTGTAAAATATTGAAAGTCTATATATATAAATAAATAAATAAATAAATAAATGAGCATATATATATATACGTGTGTGTGTGTGTGTATGAATATGTATATATATGTATACATATAATATATATACATACGTATATATGTATAAGTATATATATAATTAAATTACGTATATTATAAATATATGCAGATTAATTTTAATAATAGCGTTTACTGAATAACATTGCTGCTGTTGTAAAGAGAGAAAAGGAAAATTGATTAGAGATGGAAAAAAATATTAATTCTTTGAACACTGTAGTCGTTGTTTGCCTGACAACTCATCGTCGTTACCATTACAAGACCACCACTTTCTTTTTCTTTTACCTTATTACATCATGTTGCACTCTTTCGAAGCATCTAGTAAATAAAATGTAATAATTGTGTAAAGAAAGATTAATAAATTAATTTAATATGTATATATATGCATATATGTATGCGTATGTATGCGTGTGTGTGCATATGTATATACGTCAAATTGCAAAGAATATTTAATCGCGCTATACCGATTAAGCGAGTTTGGGAGACGTTTTATTAGTTGAGCCGTAAATCAGTTTTGCGTTTATTGGCTGACATTCGAGGCCAAGATGACTAAAGGTCGTAATATATTTCTATGAATATCATTGAAGATCAGGAAATAAAGAGAAAACCGCTGTTTCGATATGGAATAGAAGTTTGTCAGAGCTACTCGTCATGTTTTAAGTAGCTGTTTCTCCTCGCCAAAAGCTACATTTTCTGCCGGTTTTACGGCAATCCTGAGATGGACCACTAACTGTTTGGTACTACGAAAGAAATGAAAAAATAATAATAATAATACTAATAATAATACTAATAATAATAATAATAACGATAATGATAATTCCATTCAAGCTACACTTTAAACGATCATGACGAAACTAGTACCAGCAGTGTATGCCCGACTATACTATACTTGAAGAAACAATAATAAATTTTAGTTTATTGTTACGATAATATTAATTTGTATTATTTTTAGTTCTCGGTATTATAGAACTACAGCAACAAATATTCGATTATACAAAATATATATAGACACATCTGTAACTTCGTTTCATTGTGGAATATATTACGATATCTCTTATGCGACGACGTATGATTTTAAATTATAAGAGTGATTAACTTAATACGAAATTCATCAACAATTGGTAAACATAATTCGTAGGAAGATGTGTTTTCTACATAACTCGATGCTTCTTCGCCCGACGTGCATATAAAATTTCTTAAAACGGCGAAGAGTTGTTTGACGTAATAAAATTTCGTATTAAAGTAAAATTCACATATTATGCAAGTTTAATTATATCGATATTCTTTGTACTCGAATAATCTCATTTTGTAACGTTTTTTACGTTTGTTATAATCGAGTCTGTTTTTTTGTTGTAGGTAGTGAATTATATGGAAATTAAAGTTACAGGTTAACGATGTAACCTCGAGATGGTAGTTTTCATCGACAGATGTGACACTATCTCGTATCCGTCACGTTTGCAAATGCCTTCAATTTATATCGTTCCCAAAATAAAAAAAAAAAGAAGAGGGCCGGTGTAAGGGCAAATAATTTTGTCCATTCAAGGCCACGGTGCAACCATATTTTCCTTGCGCGAAAGCGACAGGAAATAACGGTGAAAACTATACTAAGATGACGTTTTAATATTGATATTCCTGAAAGTTGAAAAGTTTCAAAACCTCATAAGTGTCGCGTGTACTTACTTAGAAAAAACGGGAGGAGGTTAGGATGATGTCCGGTGATAGAAGTGACCTTAAACGGGCAAAGTTTTTCGCCAAACACGATCCAATTTAATCGAAGGAATTTTCACGTACGGTACATGTTGATTCACTAACACGGGTCAATTCGAAATGTGGTTTCTACGAACCCTTGATATAAAACTCGATTTTGTGAAACTCTCCGAGTTTGATACATAATACAGCAGAATCGCGTTATATTGCTGCAGCAGACAAAGACGAAGTTCTCGAAAATAAAAATCTTCGAAATGGCGATACATTAAAGAAACCAAGTCCCTTTGTCGAACAAAAATTTACCAGCCGGCGATATGACGCGATCCTACTAAACGTGACACTTCTTTTATGCGCGAGTGTGCAAGTTCTTTTGTCGAAACGTTTCAGTCATAAAACAGAATAGCCAAACACCTAATTAATTTTTATTATACGACGCAAAGGAAGATAAACGCTTAAATCTCAAAGCAAAGATTTTATTCTAAACTATGCGATAATTATTCTAGACCGGGGTTGGGGAATCTTCGGCATAGAGGCCGCATACAGCTTTTATACGTATGTTAGGCGAGGTTATCTCACGTTTTCTTCGGCTGTAAATTATACATTCTCAAACAGCGTTTGTTTTAATCGATTTAAATTATAGAATCGTTACTTTTGAAGCACAGTAACAACTGCAAGAAATACGTATGCTTTGATTCGATAGTAGGTTAAATGACTAAAATGTATCCGTGAGACGACATGCGATCTTGGAATGCCAAAAGATTCTTCGCTCTTATTCTAAGCGTTACGTACCCACCATCTTGGTCAACCTTGGAAACATACACGTGGATACGTCACGTTTATACGTTTAGCTGAAATCGTAGGCTTAAGATCTTGAACAGCACATCGCATCCCTTTTCAACTTCGATACGAAAATTGTATATGTATATAAAAAAATGGTGAAAAAGTAGTCCGTTTTTGTGCCGTTTCACGTACACTTTTTCCAGTTAGTACAGTGAAAAGGAATGTTAAGTGTGCGTCGCGCGTTACGTCTGGAAACCCGACGAAGATGAATCATGAAGATTTTTAGAGGGGAAATTTTAAAAACGGACGCTACAACAACCGATCGAATTTTTATAAGCTTTTTACTTTTGCACCGCTAGCAATTCTGTCCGTACTACTTTGTCGCGTTTACGCATGTTTTACCTCCGCGTGAGGTAAGAAGTAAAATCGACGGAACAGCAGAGGATAACGTCGCAGACGACCAATATTTAAGACATTTCTACTATTTTCCTATGACATAGAAATTATGTTAGAAACGAATCCAATACGACAAACTGAAAGACAAACGGGGAATAAGATCAGAGTATTTCAGCGAACGAAAAACAGTGGGAATACGAGTGATGTAACTGTCATTTCAGGACTTACGATACCCAGAAAAAAACCAGAGAAACTATAGTCAGGCCACGCGTACCGTCTCTTGCGTGATCTTTATTAGAAATTAAATTTTCCACGGAACTTTGTTTCTCTTAGAACGATTGCTAGGACATCCTCTTCAGAAGTATTCTTTACTAATTTGTCTGACAGAATTTACCATCAGTTTTTTCATATTTCATAAAAAGATATTGTTGGAACGTTCGACGGTGCTCGGGTTCGATTGGAATGGAAACGAACAGGCACACTTTGTATCTCATAGCAGCACCCGTTGTCCGCAGCAGATCGTCGGCAAATTCTCTCGATAAAATTCAAATTTCATCTCCAAAATTTGTTGAATGACAAGCGAGTTCCAGGAGGCTTGATATTTCAACGAGATTATTCATCCAAAAATCAAATTCCGTCGGAAGAATAGCACCTAATCATTCTACACGATCCTCTTCTCCGAATGTATTGCTCTCTATCAGAGATTTACTTTTCTTGGTTCAGACGCGAGACAAAACACAGTTAATGAATGCAAAAGAGGGGGCAGTGTGCTAAGTACAGAGGCGAACGAAGAATCGGAGGTGAGAGATACAAGACAAGAGGAGGAACGCTATGAAAAGGAAGAGCAAAGGAACAAGGATAAGGATGGAGCAGGTGGAGAAATAAGAGAAACCTATTTGACCACTTGCGGTGAAGAGAAACATCATAGTACTGTAACGAGAAACCGATGAAAACACGGAAATCGTCTCTATGGAGTAAGTGCTTGCCCCTTTCGGTATGACCATGGACTATAGTCGTCTACTCGAGTCTGTGAGACGAGTATATCCGACAGCTGTTAGGTGCTTATTCAAGTTCGCGCGTCGACTATGATTAACAGTCCGTCTCTAGCCGACTATAGTTTGTTCTCGTAAAATTCGCGTATCGATTATAGTCGCCTGTTTGAAGTTTATATGTTCGTTAGAATCGCCTCGCTTGAACCAACCGCGTATAACTATTCGCCTAAATTTCTGCGTCAAGTATAGATGGTGCGTGGACTATAGTGGTACTTACCTATGTTCGTTATCGACTATAGTCGCTTACCTACATATAACCGTTTGTCGATTATAGTCTGTCGCCTGTAAATTATAGTCGGTGATCGTAAGTAGATTATTCGAGTCTACGCATCGGTTATAGTTGACGATAAGCGGTTGACTATGATGTTTTACCCAAGATTGGTTTACCCTGTCAACTACAGTCCAGGGTCTCGGAGCGCTTACCTTAGACTACGGGTCGACTGTAGTCGATTATCGCTATACGTTATCTTGAGCCAGAAATAGGAATATAGTCAACGACTACTAAACACTTGTTGATTCGTTGACCATAGTCGTGACCACTGTTCAGTGTTTAATTAATCCCGCGTGCCAACTATCATCAACAGCGACCAAGCGAACACTTAATTCGCGCACCGACTATAGTCGATGGTTGCGAACCAACACCATCGACGCATATAACTGTTCGGTAAATTTGGGAGATACTATTACCATTCCCCGATACGTATAACAACATCATTTTTAATACACACAGTACACTCACACACCCTTTATGCGAGGTAAGAAACGAGACGTCCATTATTTACGATTAATCATCGACGGCACATTCGCTAACTATACACGCTAATACCGAAAGGGTTGCCGTTACTCACGACTGTAAGATACTAGGGAAAATTGTGTTAATATACATAGTAATACGTAAAGAGGATATCTACGACACAGTTAAAAAGAAAGATTTAAAAAAAAATGAAGTACACAGAGAGTGGAGTAGATTTAGTTACTATCGTGAACACACACCTATAAGATAACACACGCTGAATCTGAAGAAGCGAGGAGAAAATAAAAGAGAACCGAACGTGTTTTTCCTGTGTGTACTCGTGTATGTACGAGTGACTGCGTGTGAACGAGAAGTAGCGCCTGATGCATGTGAGAAAGAAAATCGCCTTCGGACTCGTTTGCGATAGCCAGAGAAAGACAGAACGATTAAAAAAAAAAAAAAAGAAACAAAACTGAAACATGTACACACATATATATGTATGTAATGTATAAATACAGAGCACATATATATGAATATGTATATGTATGTATAGATAATTACGGCGACACTATACGCGATTACACAAGTAGCGAACTATTATTACAATTGCTATGTTTACGATTATCACCGATTATTCGAATTATTAACGATGTTCTATAAACCCTAAATGACTATGATGAATACGATGATACTTATATATCGTTGCGTTTCGCTACGTTCACTTCTCGGATGTGTTTAGTTTTACACGGTCACACACGTAGTCGATATGGTAACGTAGAATATTAATGGATATGTGTTTAAGCGAGGATCGACCGTTTCCGTTCGTGGGGCTCTATATGATAATATTATTATTGTACATTTTGTGGTTTATTTAACAATAAAACGATAATGTTAACGGACTGCGATTTAATTACCGACGATCCGCCGTACAGTGGTTAGACAGGAAGGACGAGAAGTAAGTATGCGCATGTGAATGAACTCTAAAAAGACGTTTATTTGAGAAAGTATAAATGGTAAATATAGACACGTGTTATCTCGTGCAACGCGAGATCGTCGAGGCTTTTATCGCTCTATTTACGCCAGAGGTCCTGGTTAATAATCCTCCTAGCTTCGTAAATGGAAACCACGTCCTTTAAAACGAGTATTTCGCTGTTTCGTCGGTGCTGAAACTACCTGTGGCCTTGGCGCGCCTTAACACCTTTGCTCAAGTTAACTCGTCTAATCGAGAATTGCCGTTTACTTAAACACTTGTCGATGTACACGCAGTAACCACAATCTTTCGACGATCTGGATACCTTAATCAATTAAAGCAGTAACCTGGATTCGAATTCGAGACCAATAGAATCGAGTAATTCTTTCGCTTCCCCGTGGATGAACATTTTCTAAACGCGTAATTAAAATTCTTCGCGATAAAGTAGTGGCCAACAGTGATCAGCCAAGGAGAACCTTCCTTATCATTGCACCGCTAACTACTTCGTCCCCGTCCCGCGATTCGATGCATTTTCTACTACAGAGGTACTGTAACAAAGGCAGACGGTATTTACCACAGAAATCGACGAATTTTACGTGCTCCACTCGGTTGTTGAAGAATACACCTGCAAAAGACGACACTGTTTCTCGATGCTTTCTGCACACAACCGTATTATCTCTACGCGCGCTTATACATTCGGAAAGTCGGTGAAGTTACTGCTACATCGACGGTAGAATTTGATCTTTAAACATAGTTGCTGACCTTTACACTTTGGATTGACGCAGCAATGTCCACAATTCAGATACTCCACCAGATTTCGCGGTATGCACTTTTCATCGTACCGAATGTCAATGGTCTTAATTACTCTGGCAGCGAGCTCTAACAGCGACGGAGGATTATGCGTCATGTCTGATACGAATCTGACTACAAGCGGGTTGTCCCTTAACGATAACTTAAACCAGAGCATTACATTATTAGAACTATAAATTCAAAAGTTAAATCCTATGAAATGTCTCTGCAGCCTTTGCTAACTGTTTTCTCAAAATAGTATAGGGTATTACCTCGGTTAAACACTTTAACGTGATAATTTCAGTTGGTAGGGTTCTCAGCCTGTTCTTGTGAAGCAACAGCGATTTCAAGTTGGCTAGATTTGCTATGGTGCTGGGTAAACTTTCCAACATGTTATCGCAAAGTACCAACGCCTGCAATGATTTCAGTTGGCCCAACGTCGTTGGTACTTCTGTTAATCGGTTGCCTCCCATCGATAGCACGTGAAGTCTAAAAGAAATCGCAAATCTTGAAAAATGAAATTTCTATTAAATACTCGTACTCGGTACCTTTGCAGCTTCCAAATGTCCTTGCTGATTTCGGTGATATGATTCCCTCCTAAATATAAATATTTTAGCTCCGTGAGCTCGAGAACCTGCTCAGGGAAATCGATCAGTCTATTCCCGCTGAGATTCAGTTCGCGCAGCCCTATCAAGTTCTCGAAACTCTTGGGTAGACTGTCGTTCGTCAAATTGTTGTGCTTGACTATCAGACATGACAGGGGACAGTCCCCAAGAAATTCTGGCAATCGATGCAAATTACAGTTCGATATGTCCAACGAGTTCAAGTTGGTAAATCTGACGATACTCGGTGGAATGCTGTTTAAACGGTTTTGATGAAGCAACAAAGTGTCCACGTGCTCCGGACATTTCGCAGAGACGAAATGATCGTTCAGCATTTGGGTATCGAGCATCAAATAAGACAAGTCCAATGTCTTGGAATTGGAGTCCGAGTCACTGGAGTCCGACGTGTAATTCTCCATGGATACGAGAAATTAACAATAACTCTATAAACAATTCGTCACCTAAAATAATATTACCGACGTTTATAGCACAGGTTGGCGCCTTCAGTGTGCAAATTTTTATTATAAAACAGTCTACGTGATATAATTTTATCTAGCATTATTGAATTGCATTTATTTTCGCGTTGCATATGCGTATAGCATCATTTGCTTATCTTGCACGCGTAAACATTGTGCGTCAATAACGATTGCGGAAAAACTTTTAATTTCAATCAATGTCTACTGTCCCTAATGTGCAAGTAGTGTTTTAGCAAGTCACTGTTTGTTTGAATAATCCTGCAATTATGTAAATAAAATAAAAGAAGCGAGAAGAATGAGCATATTTATTGGCAATAGCCAAATTGTGTCAACTAATGCAATTGACGTTTCGAGCGAGCAAAGAAAAATATGTAACCGTTTTTACAACAACGACTTGTTATTTCATTTCTTAAATGAAGCAATCGATGTCAAGGTATTAGTTAAATACAAAATAATTCTTGCGTGCCTGATACTGTATTAATTCTCCTGGATCGTGTGAAAGTTAAGTTAGAAGTTCAACCGATAACGCATATCGTATAATTTTTCGTGCACTTGGCAATAGATAAAATAATATTTAACTGTAAGTAAACGGTTAGGTGGAATATCTACTATTTGATGAAACAGCTCGTAAAGATAGGATAGAAGCAGTGTTGTGGTTTAATGATTTACAGTTATGTAATTACAAGCCAATTACTTTTTAGAAGAAATCGTGGCAAGTGTGATCGGATTACATTTTATTTAGCAATAAGCATACATACGAGACGCACGATAACCGTTGACGAAGTCTATTATAGAAAAAAAATAAACGTTGTTTGTATTCCTATTAAGTTACGAGGAAATAATGTGTAATAATTCGCGTGTTCGACCTTATTATATTATGATACATGAGCTATATTTATGTATCTTTGTATCTATGCCACAACTATTACGACTCAGCCTTCACACGTGTATTATTACACGTATATGAATTTTTACAATTATACACGCTTAATGGAACCGACCAGATAAGTTCAAAAACTGATAACATTTATGAAATTAATAGTAACTAAACAAGCGGTAATCGAACTATATCTCAGACTAAAGTAGCACAGTTCAAACGGGGTTATATAAAGAAGCATTTTATCTTATTTTTATCTCCCTCTCCGCTTCAAAGAATTCATGTATACAAAGAAAAGTAATATAATGTAGGTATGTAATATTTATATAATATTATTTTCGAGAAAATTATCTAATTTGTTATCGTACTGCGTATTCATAAGGCATCTCTAGATTTTAATATCGCAAGCGATAACGCATTTTTCAAATCTTATTCATGGTCATGTCACCGGAATAACGGTAGTTACTTTTCTTAGATCGGTACGCATGTGAAACGAAGAGTTAAAACGGATATTTATCGCAGAAGTAAGTGTTTGCAATCGTATGTAAAAAAACACTACGTACGATTTTATTTAAAAAAAAAAAGATAATAACCGTATTTATTTCATATGTAAATTATCGTGCGTTCTGTGAAATCAGTCAACTTTTGTCAAACTTTAATTTCGCACGTCACTTCCGGTCACTGCCAAGAGGCCGTTAGCCAGGCAGCCAACGAAATCGTTGTTCGTTCAAGATTATCGTTCAAAATCGTCGTGAAATTAAGTTTATCAAATATTTAAGTCATATACTACAGCATCGCATTAGGTCATCGACTTACCTTATTGGTAATTCCATTTCTTCTTATTACTTGTCAAAAAGCTTTCCCCCTCCTTTTATTGTTGGTCTGTATCTCTGGCTTTGGTCATGGAGTCCTATGCAATCAGAATCTCGTGGCACGTTCGTTCACTGTTCACGAGAAAAGTGGGACGCACGATCAGACCGAGATGTACGACCGCAGAGATCGAGATTGAACAATATCTGGTTTTATCAGTTCCATTTATAAGTCGATTTAATAGCGCATGTCATCGTGGGATAACGTAGATTTCCACTTGGGAGAATGTACACGCGCTAAAAACAGCGTCTTGTATAGTCGTTTCATACGACACAAAATTAAAGAGAAGAATAAAACAATTTGCGAAGAACACTTGGAAACACTTGTTCGTTTTTATTTTACGGCGGATCGTTAAAGAACATGCATCAACCGTACGTAGTTAATATTTAATCAAAAAGAACTTGAAACTATATTATTTACCAAGTTTCCACTTTGTTTGTACACGAAGTATCCAGATCCAGTAACACAGATTCGTGCCACGCGAGGGGAAATTCACTAGTTTTTACACCACTAAACCCCCAATCCAAAGAAGGGGTCTTGTTTAATGTCGGAGTTGGTAACTTTCCCCTCGCATATCACGAATCCGTGTAGCCAAGATACAGTATTATTGGTCTACTGTCTGGTAATATTATGCAGATCATTAAATTTTTCTTAAGCTATTTTACAAATGCATACGCAAACAGTTGGTCATTATGAAATTCAGGAATTAAAGGTTACTATTTACGTAGTTACAAAATATACTTTGAGGTTAGGAAAAACTACTGCGCATATGAATATGAAATATTATTGTGAAATACGAATGAATAGAAACGAAACGTAAAATGATTATTAAAACATTCACGTTATAGAAATTATGTACGTATTTATTTCCATTCGTTCGTATGCTGATTTAACATTTAAATTTATTTAAATGGCATTCTTTAAAAAATATACATACATATTTATATCTTTGTCAAACAAAATGCTTCTGTAAACACGATACAATTTTGAGTCCAAACAAATTGATTGCTGCAAGTTCTGTGAAACAGAAGAGCATGCAAGAATGTTCTACTTAGTAATCTTACTAACCTTTCTAAAAAGAGTATAAAAGGGTATCAATAAAATCTTGTTTATCGATGGGAAGTAATAAGAAAAGGAATGATAAATTCAGAGCTTGTTCAACTAACAAGCCATCGACTCCATGATCATAGAATTATGCCACAATAAAAGATTTGCAGATGCAGGAATATCTTAATATAAATTTTTAGAGCATAATAACTATAAATCTTGTATGATCGCTATTGGCAAATATTTAACATTGTACAAAGTAAAACAGGGTTCAATTACAAAGGCAAACAAAATGCATATTCTAAATGTATATGAAACAACCAAAGAAATATATGTATGTATATTCAGCATCAAATGTTTCCATAGTCAATGTTTGTGTTACAAGGTTGAGTAAAATTAGTAAATGAAAAGAGAGAATCAAAACTCTTTGAAACATACAAATTTATGTATGTATCGTTTATGAGTCAGAACTTGTACTGAAATATTTAATTCTTTGTTTTGGAAAGGATGCAAGATTTGATTTATGTGTATTATAGTTTATTGAGAAATATTTGGCTTGCAACAAAGTTGGTTAGGAAGTTATACAAATTTTCGACTCTCAGACACAACTGAAAATAAAACTAAACGTGTGGGAGCCGAATATTAAATTGTTTAATTATTATTATACATTATAGTCAAAGGTTCTAGAAGTTTTCATTGCGAAGCTAATAACTTGGTAGGCTAGCTTTCAAGTGCCTAGAAAAATACCGAATTTCCGTAATGGGTTTTTTAATACATAATTATTTCTCTAAATATTTAATCTCAATTCGAAACATATGATCTGATCTCGTTTTTAGGTTAGTACCCCTCGAGCCCCCTGTAGTTTAAATTGTGGAACAGTTTCGTTGAGTTTCCAATCTACTTTACAGTTCGTTCGTGGTCGTTGCGTACAAAATCGTAGTACTCGAGTAGACCGTGCGATGGCGTCACAGGTACGAATAGTGCCAAGACCGATATAATTTGTGTCATACATTCCAGTTATGTAGTGCTTTTCGTTGCAACAGGTGTTACGGACCGATGAATTTTCGCATAAGTTTTTAATAGCACGTTGTCGCGCGTGTGCATGTGCATATACGCGTTAGTAAAATATTTCTGATAAATCTGACGCAGCTACCGTCCGTTTCGAAATCGTATTCTATTCTCCTTCGAAAGTGCGTGTACTCAGGAAGTGATTTATGCAGCATAAAACGCACCGTATTCGGGTAAACGAAGCAATGTAGTAGTGTCGAGGCGAGTATTATTTATCCTTTATACCGTATCGAAAATTGGTATTCTCTGCGTTACGTTATTTATATCGTTCTATTCTTCGATACGAAGGTACTCAGGTTATTTGCGTATTTGATGTTAATCATTGACACGTGCGTGAATAGCAATGCGATTTAATTATCGTTCCTTGAACGTGAATCAGAACGTTCGCCGTTTATCCTGAAAAATAAATATGTGTCATGGAACACGATCGAACATGTTTCCTGTGTTTTTAATGGTAATGATAAAGACTTTTTGCGAGCCCTGTGTCTACGTATCATGATATCGTGAAACGAATTACGAGTATCTATCCATATTTTCGCGATTAAATTACTCGTATCTCGGCGGTACGCCCGCCATTGATGATTCTGTCGTTTGACAGTTAAAATTTGAAACGCGCGAACTTGTCACGGTATGCGTACAGTATCAATGGCGCTATCAGGTTGCTGTAAGCTTATCGCGCGTATTTATTTTACAAACGTATATCGTAAACAACGTGTATCGTACACAATGGACGTTTTATCGGACGAAAGAACGAGGTTCGAGAATTTTTAAATCGTACGAAATAGAACCATTCGAAGATGTTGGTAAATTATTAGCAGAAATCGTGGGGAATTCGAATGTGCTTAAATCGTCGAAATATTTATGTCAATTAAGTCCTTAATACAGCGGAATTAATTATGGTCGTTCGTTCGAGTAAGTAGGCGGATTACCGAGAAACGAGTCACGTTACGAGTTTCTCGAAACGTATTCTCTTCTATTTCGATGTTCCGATTTCGCGTATAGTGACGCTAATGTGCTCGGAACGACGTGTCGGCTGTGTGTGTGACTACCTTAATTCCATAATAAATTTCTGGAGTCTCAGAATGTTTCTATCGCACAGAGAGTAATTCTTAGAAAGTTACACGTCGTAATAAGTGCATCGAAATAGTATGTGGTAGCATAAAGCGGTACTTGTATTTGTCTTTATTCTGTACATGTTACATTTTAATGCGTTCGATATTCAACAAGGTCTACAGAAATATCAGTACGCGTCGATACGGCTGTGTTAGCTTGCCACGATTAAACGTAATTCTACGAATATTTTATTTACATGTATATCGGACGTCGATAATTAAAACAATGTCGATAATCTTTCTAACGTTGCAAAAGTGAACGGCCTGGCATTCGCACGCGTTCGAAGGAAACCCGTTTCTATACGTGGGTGGTGGAAAAAAGGTTGGAACCTACGCGAGTTTCACGTATTTGGCGTGTTTCAACGATCGAACGTCTTGTAGTCTTTACAGGGCGATTGAAAAATGGTGAGATAAAATTTACATATTTACAGGGTGTTCGGCCATCCCTGGGAAAAATTTTAACGGGAGATTCTAGAGACCAAAATAAGAAGAAAATCAAGAATATCGATTTGTTGATTGAGGCTTCGTTAAAAAGTTATTAACGTTTAAAAGTGCGCCTGCAGATAGGCAACCTGCGTACAACTGCGTGCGCGCGGTAGTGGTTCTCACTCAGCCTGAGAAACTCTACTTAGTAACGTATCGGCAGCCTTGCTATCAGCTGTTCGTAGATTGCCGCTCTACAGGCGTAACTTTAAACGTTAATAACTTTTCAACGAAGCCTCAGTCAACAAATCGGTATTCTTGATTTTCGTCTTATTTTGGTCTCCAGAATCTCCCATTAAAATTTTACCCAGGATTGACCGAACACTGTATACTTTCAAAAATTAGTTTGTTTCTCGATGTTTGGGAATTCTCCAGGTACAATAGTGCAATTGTTGTCGCTAATATACTATCGCTGGATATACACGTTACATAGGCCGATAGAAAAGATAGCACGGTATAGATGTCAACGACTCAGGTAGGTCGGATAAGATGTATCTTATCTAGATGTGTGCCCAGTGATGTTGATCTTGTTCATTCACGGATTTATCTTAATTTTTTTCCAAGGATTTTTCAGGAACCATCTTCCCTATGTTCCTCTTATCTCCGGGAAATGAACAATTACACGTTGCAACGTTGAAGAGAAGAAAGGGAAAAGAACAGGATCGCATTTTGCAAGAGAATTGGGAACTACGCTGAAACGATAACTCTGATTCCCGCTCCCGACCCATACGTTAAGGTTATTTGTTTTATTCGCTCGTTTTTCTCTGTTCCCGCGTACGATTTGCAACGTTATTCGTATCAATGTATGTTTTCCCATTCGATTTAAAGCGACAGTTCGGAAAGTTGACGATCGTGCGAACGCATCGTTAACGAAGCGTGTCGAAGGCGGCCAAAGGGTGACCGTAATATGCCGGACGTATAGTAGAACGATAAAATACGGTTATAAAAATAAGTGGCAGGACGATATGTACAACGAGCGAGGCTTTAAGTACCGTTTCGAAGGATTGCTGACGCGCAACGAACGAACTATATACATACGTAAGTATGTACCTCCATAGTTGATCGCAAATTCGAACGATTCCATAGAGTTCAATAAATTTTTATCATCATTCGTTTTCCAACGAGTTTTAAAGGGAGAAACCACCCCTTTACAACGACCCCTTAATAATCGATGTACAATTTTTGTCGTCGCGTTTCGAGAAAGTGTATGTTATTCGTGGGAGATTTGCCGAAGAGCAGACGATGGGTTTTCTCCCGTTGCTTTGTGTATGGGGTATACGCCTATGGTGGTCCACGCGCCTAAAATCGATTCAGAGAGACACAGACAGGGCATAGACCTCCGTCCGCAGGGTAGATTCGTCGTAACTCTATGGAATCAAACATTTTCCTCTCTCGTTTAACCTTTTCCTCGTGATTTGCAAAGATCTAAGAGAAATCCGAGGAAAGCGTTCGACGACAGAACCAACTTTGAATTTTTTTAATGGAACCTGTGGTACGATTTTTACTGGTCGCTCGAATCGAAAGAGCGGACCTTGACTTTTGTCCTGCTTTCGTTTTCTCATTAGTCATTGCATCTGTGCCTCCTTGGTTTTAATGACTGTGGGATCGGGAAAATAATGACTCCGCTCTGTTCCGTTCCGCACAATTTTATTGTTGCTGTCGTACAACGACGTGACTCGTGGTGCGGGTTACGCTCGACTCTCTGGTACGATCATCGCCACCGTACCAAGAGGCCTTCAAAAACAAAAGACGGTCAGAGACGACGACAACGGCTTTTCGGCTCACGCGGCTCTGGTCGTCTCGTGTGCAACCATCGTCTCGTGTGCAACCATACATTGTAGCGGCTTCGAACGGCTAAGGCGTATGTGGTGCCTTGGCCGCCACACTACCCCCCTGCCAGTAATTGGCACAATTACGAAAAATTGACCGACTACATTACCACTACCATTTACTCTACTATATAAAATACGTTATCCTAACTAAGATTTACATTACAGTATTTGAACAGAGTTGAAAAAAAAAAAAGGAATTTACATGGAGTTTAATATATAATACGTAATACCTAAAAATACATGAAAGTACATAAAAGTGATGGATAAAAATAAATGGTATATGATACTTATTATAATAATGCGCAAGCCTTAAGTACTACCGCGTAATTTGAAATCGCTCGGGAAAACGTACGCGTCTACCTGAACGCGTGACACGTTGCTGTATAACCGGCGCATTGTCAGGTACGTTTGTTTGTGTGACCGGCTGATTTTCTATGCTCACGGGATCCGGTCTGTTTTCTGCTAGCATATAAGCAGGCTTTAGCCTTTCAATTGATATATTTATTTCCTTACCTCTAATGTTTATTGTAAATGTTTTTTCGCCTCGGCGCACTACGGCGTATGGACCTTCATAAGCGGGTTGTAAAATAGTTTTGGCTGAATCTGTTCGGATGAAAACATGTGTTGAACTGCTAAGATCTTTGAAAACGAATGTACGATTAACGGAATGGCGTGATGCATTAGAGGGACTCAATTTAGAAAAATGGTTGCGTAGTCTATTAGTAAAATCGGAAGCATTTTCTGTGCCTTCCGCTGAATGCGAAGACAAGAACTCTCCCGGTAATCTTAATGGCTCGCCATAAACTAATTCCGCTGAGGTAGCGCCGAGGTCTTCTTTCCAGGCGGAACGAATACCGAGTAGAACCGTCGGAAGTATTTCTGTCCACTTGTCGGATCCGTGGCACCTTATAGCCGACTTGAGCTGTCGGTGAAAACGCTCTACCATCCCATTGGCCGCTGGGTGATACGCCGTTGTGCGAAGGCGTGTGGATCCAATTAAATTGTTCAGCGCAAAAAATAATTTGGATTCGAACTGCCTACCCTGATCGGTGGTAATCCGTACGGGAGCACCAAACCGCGCTACCCAACCGTCATAAAAGGTTCGAGCTACGGTTTGGGCCTCCTGATCGACCATGGGGAAGGCTTCCGGCCACCGCGTATATCTGTCTACACAGGTCAGACAATACCTGAAACCTTCGGACACCGGTAAAATTACTATGTCTAAATGAATGTGTTCGAATCGCGCAGAAGGTTTAACAAATGTAGCCAATGGTGCAGTCACATGACGGGAAATTTTTGATCTTTGGCACGGTATACAGCAACGTGTCCACGTGCGAACATCTCTTTTAATCGACGGCCAAACATAACGTTGCGTTATGAGCTTGATCGTCGCGTTAATACCTGGATGTGATAATACATGTAACATATTAAAAACTGCGCGTCGGAAAGGAGGGGTGACATAAGGTCTTACATTCTTAGTCGAAATATCGCAAAAAATTTCGGAAGACGTGCCAGGCAACGAGACTTTGCGTAATTGCAGGCTAGATTCGCTATTCAACAACCGCTGCAACTCCTCATCCTGGGCTTGCGATTTTGCCAATTCTTCGAAATTAATCGAGTGGTTAACCGTTTCCACTCTGGACAGTGCATCGGCAACGACGTTGTCTTTACCGGAAATATGTTGAATATCTGTAGAGAATTGCGCAATGTAATCTAGGTATCGGAATTGTCGAGGAGAGCATTTATCTAATTTCTGTTTGAAAGCGAAAGTTATGGGTTTATGGTCTGTAAAAATCGTGAAATGTCTGCCTTCGAGCATATGTTTGAAATGTTTTATTGCTAAATAGATAGAAAGTAGTTCCCGGTCGTAAGCTGAATACTTCTTTTCGGCAGATCCTAATTTCTTAGAAAAGAATGCTAATGGTTGTCGTTCGTTGCCGACGCACTGATGTAAAACAGCTCCTACGGTGTAATCAGAAGCATCGCAGGTAACCGACAATGGAGCGTTGACCGCAGGATGAGAAAGCAGGGTTGCGTTTGCTAAACTATTTTTGGTATTTTCGAAAGCCTGACGCGCTTCCGAAGTCCAGGCTATCAGGGTCTTGCCCTTTAAATTGCCGGCTAGAAGGTCGTTCAAGGGTGCTTGAAAGCGAGCGGCATCTGGGATAAAACGGCGGTAAAAATTAAGCATTCCCAAGTACTGCCTCAAATCCTTCGCGTTTTTCGGAAGGGGAAATGACTTTATGGCTTGTACCTTGCCGGGCAAAGGTTGAGTGCCGCTTTCATTTACCCGATAGCCTAGAAATTTAACTTCTTCCTGTCCGAACGTGCATTTATTCGGATTAACAACAATGCCATAATCTTTTAATCGTTTAAATAATAATTCTAAATGGCGCAGGTGATCGGCTTGGGATTCTGAGGCGACCAAAATGTCGTCTATATACGCGTAACAAAAATCGAAACCGCGTAAAATTTCGTCGATAAAGCGCTGAAATGTTTGCGCGGCATTTCGTAACCCGAACGACATGTACGGGAATTCAAAAAGCCCGAACGGCGTTGTAATGGCCGTTTTTCCGACGTCTTCCGACGCAACCGGAATCTGATTATAAGCTCGGACGAGATCTATTGTGGAAAATACCTTTTTGCCACTCAGTTGTTGCGCAAAATCCTCAATGTGACGCACGGGGTATCGGTCGGGAATTGTCCGTGCGTTTAACGCTCTATAGTCACCGCAAGGCCTCCAAGCTTCTTCGCCCTTCTTCGGAACCATATGAAGGGGTGCTGACCACGCGCTCTTCGAAGGACAAGCGATGCCCATCTTCACCATCGCGTCGAACTCCTTCTGGGCAGCCCTGAGCCGGTCCGGTGCAAGCCGCCGCGGCTTGCTGGAAACGGGTGGTCCAGGGGTTGTCTCGATGTAATGCACCGTTTGGTGCGTAGTCCTCATCGGGGTGCCGCTAGGCCGTGTAAGTTCCGGCATCTGCATCAGGAGCTGGTGGTAAACGGTAGTCCCTGCTACTGTCTTCACCGACGGCGTTTCATCCTCGGCTCGTGTTCCGCGGACCGTTAACGACGTTGTCCGATCGACGAGGCGACGATTGCGGATGTCCACCATAAGATCGAAGTGATCGAGAAAGTCTACCCCGATTATGGGTTTTGTAACATCCGCAACCACGAATCGCCACACGAAATCCCGTCGTAGGCCGAGGTGCAGGTTTAACGACACTGTCCCGTAGGTGTTAATTACACTCCCATTCGCCGCCGCCAGCTGGTACTCCGATCTTTCTCGCAATCCGCCTAGCAGGCGGCGCGGAAAAACGCACAAATCGGCCCCGGTATCCACTAAAAATTCCGTCTTCGAGCTGTTGTCTAAGATGAAGAGGCGGCGTGATGCTGGATTTGTGTCGCTGGCCGCCATCAACGACTCCCCAGGTCGTTTCCCTGATCCGTGGCGTTCCAATTGCACGGTGCAACGCACCTCTGCGCGGCCGGACCGAACCGCCAATGGTACCAGCATTTCCCTTGATGGTCCATTTGTCCTCCCGCGGGCCGCTCTCGCGATCGCGATAGAGATCGTCTGCGGTAGCGCGAGTTTGGATGATTTCGGTGGGTCCACCTGCGACGGGAAGATTGCCCCTGGTCCACCAAGGATTCACGGATGGCAGAAATTTCCTGCCTCAAGGAAAGAGCCAATTGCGACATCTTAATGTTTAACATGGCCTCGATGCTCGGGCCCGGCGGGGGTATTTGGCAGGATGCAGATACGCCCGTAGTCGCGGCCTCCGTGACGTGTACCCGCGGTGTCATCGTATCCGCGACAGCGTCTGCCAACTCTGCTACCTTATCCAGCGGGGTGTCCCGCTGCGTGGATAAAATCACCTGCATATTAGCAGGTAGCCGGCCCATCCAAAGCGTCCGCAATACACCGTCCGAAAAAGCCGTACCGGCCAATCCGCGCAGGTGACGAAGAAATTGGGACGGTTTTCTGTCCCCGATTTCCTCGTGTTCCAATAACCGCCGCGTTTTCTGTTCCTGCGACGCACTAAGCCGGCGAATGAACTCATTTTTTAGCGTCGTGTACGGATCCGTGGCCGGGGGATTCATGATAATGTCTCTTACTTCCGCGGCGTGTCGCGCACTTAACGCGCCGAGAATGTACCCGAATTTCGTGGTCTCCGACGTTACATTGGATACCTCAAAACTTCTCTCTACCATTGAAAACCACATCTCCGGGTCTCCCGGACAAAACTCGGGTATCCGTACAGCGACGCGATCAACTGCCAACGGCACACCCGCGGATGTCCCTGCGTTAACGTTAGGGTCAGTCATTTTACCAGTCTTAGTCACAAAAAAAAATAGTTTCACCGCACACACACACCGCGCTTACTATTTGTCAGACCGTGTCCTTTTCTTATGTCCTTAACACTATACACTTATTTCTCTACACTAACTAATATTGTCCGTATACAAAAAATGTCCAAATTTTCTTAAAAAAAACTTTACTTGCGCGGCGAGATCACGTCGGGGTCACCAATGTGGGATCGGGAAAATAATGACTCCGCTCTGTTCCGTTCCGCACAATTTTATTGTTGCTGTCGTACAACGACGTGACTCGTGGTGCGGGTTACGCTCGACTCTCTGGTACGATCATCGCCACCGTACCAAGAGGCCTTCAAAAACAAAAGACGGTCAGAGACGACGACAACGGCTTTTCGGCTCACGCGGCTCTGGTCGTCTCGTGTGCAACCATCGTCTCGTGTGCAACCATACATTGTAGCGGCTTCGAACGGCTAAGGCGTATGTGGTGCCTTGGCCGCCACATGACAAACAACGTCGATGTAAATATACTTCGTAACGTTTGCGAGAAATTCATTTAAATTTAGATTTATATTACGTGTTCGTGTTTCGAGGGAAGGGAAATTGTCGCGCTTTACTCGAACGAAAAGCATCGCGCAAATTAATTCCCAAAGCGTTCTCTCGGTCGTTGGAAGTTTCGTGTATCCAGTCGGGATTGCCAGCAAACTAGTTCCCCAGCTTCTTTCACCCTCGATTCCGCCGAATTGTCCAGAGGGAGGTGTCGTTTCAAAAACGAACGTTCTACGGACGACGACGAACGCGGGGAAGTCGCGTCACCGAAATTTCCACGTTCCTCTCCCTCTCTTTTAATTTTACGATAGCTAGTAATCGTCTCGCAGCTAAATTATTATGGGGGACATTTAGCTCCGAGCCACTGCCGCCCGGAGTTTCGAGAATGATCTCTGGCGTCTTTATGGCAGTTAGGTTTATTAGACGTTGTTTCCACAGAGAACTTGGTCCATTTCTAACACCGTTCGAGCGACCCTTCGCTCTCGAGACTAACACTAGACGCACATTGTAACGTAGGATGACGAAGCTCAGCATTTTATGCAAGCTATATAGAATCAGTCGTGTCAAATTCATTTCGACAGGTCTGTTATTATTTCTAAATCCATGCTCGAACAAGTCGTTTAAGATTAATCCGCGATACAAATGTAATTAGCTGTCCAGCTCGTGATACGTAGCCGTAGATTGGCAAATTGACAAGGCTGACGACAAAAGATAGAATCGACAGGAATATAAGAGCCACGTGTGATATCGTATGTCGATCTCGAGACGTATGTACGATAGAACCCATAAATCTGTTGTTGCTATCTAACGCGCGTTTAAAGACGAACTTGTCGACGGAGAAACGGGTCGAGTCGAACACATGGAATTCCAGCCAGCCAAGTCGTTGTTATTTCTAGTTCATTACCACGTCAGAGTTTGTATCGCTGTTCAAGTCCCATAGTAAATAATGCAGTACGACACCTGGTACACCCTGTACATCATGCTGCGTATGCACAGAAGCGTCGTGTACACACGTGCGGGGACCGAGCGTAATCTATATGCATAATGTATAGGAGCTGGTGGTGTAGAGGCGAAATACCTTGGTTGGCGCGACGTTCTATATCACGTAAGCCGTGCTTCTGACTACGTCCCACTGTGCTCTGTACATCAGGACTTTCTTTTCCGCGTGTACCTCTACGTGTACGCACTGTGTTCCACCGCGACGGTTGAGTACGTCGGGAATAATGGAAAGAATTCTGGCAACCACCAAGACGGTCCCTTGGAAGGGCACACGTAGATATACACGCGTGGTGGGTTCTCTGTCGACCCTTACTCGAGACTCGACTCTCGCATCGCATTAATCCTGCTTCTTTTTCGCTCGACAACGTAGACGTATTCGTTAAAGGTAGCCCCAGCGCTGCTCGCCATTAACGTTGCAATTAAATATATAAGGGTTGTAATTACTTTGTAAGGTACGTAGAATAGCTAGATTTTTCGTGGTAAATTTGTGGCGCTGTGTTTGCTGAGGATAGGAACTCGTGAGAATCGTAGGACCTGCTAGTGGGACTCATCAGTAAGGCTTTTTAGCAGGTCCTGCTTTAGACGACTGGGATATTGGGAAGTCGTTCGAGGAATGTACTATGCAGCGATGACTTAATGGCTAGGCACGCATTTTACGTGGTTTGCCCATGGCGCCGCGTATTTTTACTATTGGTCGCGTCGCCGGTCACCGGTGGCCCCCACGGCGCTGTAACCAAGTCGAGTGCCGGCCACCGGTGACCCCCACGGCAGTCAACGTGTTAATAACGACGCCTGCTCTCACATGAATTGTCATTATTGGCTGAGTCGCTCACAACTGCAATTCCATCGCGTGACAAAGGACGCAAACGAAACGCTACAGAGTAGGATAGGACAAGACTGAGAGGCATTGGCGCAACCGTACTCTCAAAATACTAGCCATGAATAGTATTGGAAAAGGTAGGGCTATGGGACGTGTGATTCGAATGAAACGACAATAATTACTGGTAGAATGTACTTTTTATTCTATAATACGTAAAAGGTATATCTTAGAGTTCCGTTCTGTTCTCTAAGAGATCTGTTACAAGACTGTGACTTCGCCCATGGCCAAAACTCCAGACATATACAATCGTCACTGGAGATGATTTTTGTAACAACGTGAGACGGTTAGGAAATCCAACAAATAGAACAAGGCAGCGCGTAGACCTTCTCTCCTTGCCCTTGCCCCGTTTAGTTTGCTGGTGTCTAGCCAACAAGTCACCTCTGGATAGTACATAGCAACTGAGGGTCGAGCGCTTGCGGGAGCGCGACCCCTCTGGTGGCGAGCATGGGAGGCAACGCCACAAATTTGTATTGGAAATAGGTGGTGGAATAAAAATACAATTTGATCGATATTACTTTTAACTAAGCTTTGTTAGAAACACTTGGAAGGCACGTCTGCACGGCTTGAAAAAAATATACATATACATAAAATGAGGAAAAATTCGTCCCGTAACCTCAGACCCAATCGGTCCCATTCTTTGTCTAAACAACCCAACGAAGGGACCCAACTGCACCCTCTTGACTTGTATCTCGAAACGCGTCGATGGTTTTTGTCAAGGAAAGAAAACTTTCTCTTTTGGAAGAGCAAAACCAATAATTTGTTAGGCGTTTTCCGAGCGTAACTCGACCGGATGACGGTGGTGGTGGAAAACGTACGCGTTCATTGATACCGCGAACGCTCGAATAGCAAAGACCTATCGTTCTTCGGGCTCGTAACTTGCCGGTTTCGGTGCTGGAATTCGAGCGATGCTAATTTCATCGTGGAATTCCAGAATGTCGAATGTTGCTACAGACATGCGTCGGGGAGTTACATTAACCGCACGTTTACGGACCGGTATCGGAACAATTGATACAAGTCAAGAGAATATCCTCCGTTAGCCATGCTTCTGCGGTTATAGTTTGTTTTAATAAGCAGGTCGTAGTTGCAGAATTTTCTATTGCTCACTGTCAACGCGGTAGATAGAGAGAAACGATTTACTTGAGAGGTCTTGCTTCGACTGAATTATATTCGACAGATCCATACACACAGACGTGTATATCAAATGCATGTCTATCATTTCCTGGTTTTAATACTCATTCATTATCGTTTCCCACACGCAACAAGTTATAGAAATATCAAATGCTCGTTGCAAGAGAACGAGTTAGACCGACTTATGCAACGGAATAACAAGGTTGGGAGATATCGTGAAGTTATCGAACAACGATTTAGTAATATCGGTTATACCAGCACGATTTCTGATTAAGAATATTTATTTCCACAAAACTAGTATCAATACTGTGTTACTAAAATTATGTATTGCAAGTACATGGATATAAATGACAGATAATCGGGATATCGATTTTCAATCGGGGAACTATAAATACTGGACGGGAGAGTCGCTCTTAAAGCTGCAAAGCATAGCCGAGTACGTGTTATTTAATAAATGGTTATACTTGTAAGAGCTGCTAACTTATTTTTATAATGTCTCTCTGCACACTAATCGTAAATTGCAATTAATTGTTTCAACCTTCAAAGGCAAATAAAAGTGTGCATCCGTAGGTAGGCACGAAGGAATTACATAATTTCTTATCAATTTCCGCATATTTGTAAAATAATACATGCGTGGAGGATACACCTAATTGAGCTAAAAATACTTTCATGATAGGAATATTAATAAAATAAAACAATTACTGGACGGAGACGGTGTTAAAATTTTAGAGACGAAGTTTCAAATATTCCAATCCACATTTGGCAAACTTTTGGGCTACTATGCACTCGTCATCGTCGGCAGCTGCAAAAGTAACAATACAAATTATATTATTAAATTGTATTATTATTATAGTTTGTTCGATCGACTTACCATCGGTTGCACACTGATGTACGCTTTGATGAATGGTCTCTATTTGGTCGCTGTTTGCTAAAACCTTATCTATCTCAGCGTGTATTTTATCCATGTTTATGGTATTACCTTCCATCTAAAATGATGGCAGCCATTTTTTAATATTCCATCGACTCTTTAAACTACCTTCGGAACTACTGTAATTAACGAAGAATGAAATTTTACGTACTATACCGATTTTCTGCATGAAACAAGCTTCGAGGCAGCCACGTTTCCTCACTGCCTCTTCGGAATCGTCGGTCAACAAGCTCGGCAGATCGGCTAATCGAAGAATTTAAAATACTTTGTAACCCCATCTCTGGTCTACTCGCTCGCCTATTTATTTCTAATACTCACCGCGTGTCATACCCATTTTCGCGAGACACATAAGCCGTGGGTGTTCGTCATCGGCACGAACTAACTGCAATAGAACTAATTGCAATCAACCGATTTTTATTCGATCGTCGAGGGTTCGAGATGCGTGAAGTTTGTGCAAAAAAGATCGAAAGTATACCGTGCAAGTCACGAAGCACAAATAGCACAAGAAGATTGCGATGGTTCTCATAATGGTAGCTTCAAAGATAGTCGAAAGTAAAATGAAATCGTGAACCAGGAACCAAATGGCAGCAGAATAGTCCTCGACAAGAATCGTTTGTTCGACTGACCAGGCAACGTTATGGCGCGTATTTATACACGGTAAGCGCATAGGAAGTCAGAATGTTGGTCGACGGTGACAATGGGTTTACGTAATTTTATTTCTCAGAAATACTACAAACATTTATTGTTTTATACTGTACAAGGTAAATCGTGTATGCGCAAGCACAGATGATATTCTGTCGGTTTCGCTAATTTAAGTAAACGTTTTTGGAACTATCTTCCTGTGGAGATTCAAGTGCCTACCTTAACTATTTCTTGGATGTTCAGTGAAATTCTTACTTCTATGTATGTAACAGTATATTTTCTATTTACATCCGACGGCGGGGGATTGAAAGAAAGAACGATCTTTCGTTACATATAAATAAAATTACGAGTTTAGTTCGTTAATACCCGAAGTACTCGCTCAATGTGGTCAAGCAAGTGAAAAATCGCAAGCCAACGTTACAGTCGCCGGTGAGTCCTTTCACTGAAACAGAAAGACCATCGTCAAAACTATTTGTATTTTATTCGTTTCGCCTATTTACCGTGCAATCGTTTAGTTGGCCGTGTTAAATTAAACAAAATAATGGGAGAAATATACAGGGTGTTTGGCCACCCCTGGGAGAAATTTTAATGGGAGATCCTAGAGGCCAAAATAAGACGAAAATTAAAAATATAAATTTGTTGATTGAGGCTTCGTTAAAAAGTTATTAACAAAATTAAATTAAAAAATTTCAAATCGTTCACGGAAAAATTATTTTTAGTTACAGGGGTCAATTACAATCATTTTTGGTCAACAGACATTCCCTCGAAATCCTACTCAGTTTCGAGATAAAAATTCCTTACCGAAAATGTACTTTCAGGTCAGAAATGTCTTCCCGAAATTTCATGCGAATCTTTAAAACATCATAACTTCTGAACGGATTGGAGGATTTTAATGTTTCAAGCGGCAAATAACGCGTATTTTGGTCAAGAATATGTAGAAATGCTAACAATATTGAAAAAGTTGTTCCTAGACCCGTTCAAGTGAGAAAAACCGCATAAAAATGGTCCAATTTTCAAGCAGCCATAACTCCTACAATAGTCAATGGATCTCATTGAAATTTAGTATGGAAGCAAAGCTCATGGACACCTAAAAAAAAGTATTAGACAACTTTTCCGTACAGCGTCAAACAACTTTATTAGAAATGAAAAATGAATTCTTAAGAATAATCGACAAAAAAAAATTTTAAATCCTTTTGGAAAAAATTATTTTCGATTGCGGGGGTCAGTTACAATCATTTTTGTTGAATACACATACCCCCGAAATCCTACGTACTTTCGAGAAAAAAATTCTCTACCGAAACTATACTGTGTGGCCGGAAATGTTTTTGTAACTTTTTAACGAAGCCTCGATCAACAAATTTGTATCCCTGATTTTCGTCTTATTTTGGCCTCTGGAATCTCCCATTAAAATTTTTCGCAGGGTTGGCCGGCACACCCTGTATGTATTATTCTCACTTATGTGAATTTTCGTACCTTGCTCGGAGCATTCGGTGATAATTGCATTAACTGCCCCTTTCACTTCTATCGGCATATCTGATTTGTTAATCAGATCATGTATTATCGGCGCTTGTATTTTATCGCCTACCATCTAAAGGCAGTTCGACAGAAATTTAAAATTAGAAGTAGCCTGTTGCTGCATTTTTGCAATGTTATGATAAATTCGTTGTTGAAAACGTGAACTTACGGTGCCTTGTTTCTGTGCACAACAGACCAAAGCGCAGACTGCTTTTTTTACACTTGGTTGGTTCTCTGGTAGGTCAAATCCGTGAGGTGTCGACGCCTGTAATACCCGTACATCCTCTGTGAAATCGTCGAAAATTTTGATTAGCTTTTTTGAAGCTTGGCGATCAGTACGTTACATTTAATCGACATCTTTCTTACCCCTTGTTGCTCCCGTTTTGTTGAAACATGCTATTACTTCGTTTTCGTTAATATTAAAAATAGTTCCTAAACCCTCGTACATGTGATCTGTTCTGTCGTTTGTTGCACGAACGGTCATCTAAAACGAGCAAGTGTTTCTTTTCTAACTTCAGTTTTCAGAATGATCTCTCGATTTCAAGGAAATAAATCTAGACCTCTAGAAGAACATAAATGTAAAATCTAGGATCCAGATTTCCTTCCTGGTTATGATATTGTTCGTTAAAGTAATATTTTTCATCTCGAGTGACAAGAAATGGGAAAGAGTAAATCAACGAAATTTTTTTTCTATTCTGCAAACGATTATAGCTAACAAGAAAGATGACAGACGACGGTGTTGCTTGTTACATAATGAATTATTCCCGAGACTATTTGTTAATATCGTATCACAGTTTAGTAAATTATTCAATACTTACACAAACGAGAACAACAACCATAGTAAATAATACACACTTCATTTTTCTGATTTCTACGGATCGATCACTAAAACTGACAAACTATCACTATATTTGTATACCGACCGTTTGTTTTATTGAAATAACATCGGTCGCTCGATCTTCTGTATTTATATTGGAGCAAGTAGAGGTTAAAGATCCAAGATTATGCGGCGGTGTTATGTTCGTCAAACGTAATATTCTCGATAAATGCAGCAAAAAAAGTAATTGTTAGAAAAGTGTCGAGCATTGATTTTCCTTCGATTCTAGAAATCCACGCGTTTCTGTTATTCTAATCTTTTTCTGTACAACTGTAAAACTGTTTCTAATCGTAAACAGCGATGCTCAAGTTATGAGAATGGGACTCGGATTCTCGGTATTGCTATACTAATTTAAATTATATCATAAACATAAATCTGTTTTCCATTTGTTTGTACTGCAGCAACTAAATTTAGAGATTCACAACAGGGTGATAAATATCAGTCTAGGCATTTGAATTGTTGACATAACATCACGACAATTGTTCAACCATTTTCACGTTTAAACATGAAAAAAAAAATCGTGGGATTTTGTTCTCGAACTCGAGGATCGTTTAGCATTCTGCGAGTTTGTCGGCAGTTCCATCGGAAATGTAGCTGGCGTCTGTAATCGCTCGCAAAGCCGGCCATTTGCAAAAGTGTCTCTCCTCTTTCCTGTGCGTCTGTTTGGCGCGTAAGGTCGGCCGTAACTTTATTCCATGGTGTATGCAAGGCAACTTGGACCATTACGGAGAGTACATTATACCACCTTACAACGTGAGTCGCTTACGCTAACGCGATCTCTGCTCGTCTTCTTGGCCGCGTTCAAGCCTAAGTGCAGCGTTTCGCAAAGCCTGTCATAACGGTGACAAGTTTCAGACTTACTCCATTTTTATTCCGTCTCCTATACTAGAATAGTATTTGCTTGGATGCAACTAGCAACTTTTATTTGTCTTCTCAACGTAGCCAAAGTAATCGCTTCTATAGGAACACAGTCTGTCCAAACTGATCGAAACGTAACGTAAGAAACATGGTACAGCTATTTTTTATAAATTGCTACTGTATGATATTAAATTGCAGACCGGTCTAGCAAACATTACCGCAGGTATGCAGCGGGTGGTCGAAGCATTGTGCATCGGTTCGTTTCGCGTTAAAATTCATGGAGCGTCGGGGTCTCGAGTGCATTTTAATTATTCATATCGCGTTAACGTCGCTTTATTTATTTATTAGTCAGCCGCGTTCTCCGCGAGAGTGATCGAAACTGTCAGCCTCATTAATCTCGTTCTTACCAACGAAACTTTAGCTCGACATTTGCAGGAAAAGGAAAGAGAGAAAGGATGCGTGAGTGAGAATTTTCTTAAATCATTTTATTGAACGTTGTGCACGTGATTAATTCTGATCGTTACAATGTTACGGCCTCCGGCGAGCAGCGTTTAGTAGTCTACCGAACTATTGGAAAAGATTCTGTATATAACAGTCGGTGTATTTGTTGCCCATGACACACTCGTCAGTCTCACCTTTTACTGAAACAGAAAGATGACGGTGAAACAGAGTTGCAGAAAGAAACGATCGAGCAATGTTTCTATCGTTGGAAACCTGGAGAAAACTATAGGCTGATTAGTGTTATTTTTCGAGGATATTACTTACTTGATCCGACACACTCGGTTGCGATATTCTTTACTAGTTTGATGTCCTCGTCGTTGCCAGCGTGCACCGTCTCTATCATTTTGTATATCGGCTCCACGTGGAAGTCAAGACCCGTCAACTGATACAGAAAACGGGAATAAATCAGAAACTTTGTGGAAAAGCAATTGTCTGGTTTTACCGTTGAGAATGTACTTACGATGCTCATTCGTTTCATGACGCACGCTTTCAGACAACCCATTTGTCTAAGGTCGACTCCATCGCGGGCCTGTTGTACGTTCGAAGCTTGCTCTGAAGAGAAATATTTTCGAAATTAGCGATTATACATACGCGATATAACACACACGTTTCCATCGTGTGCAGCGTACATTAAAAATATATACTAATAAGTGACGCGAGAATCAATTAGTCGTTCGAGGCTACCGACTAGGAAACATTCTATTATATCAAGAACTTATACTCCGTTAAAAATGCATTTTCAGTGACACGTTCGTATTATAACGTGTTGTTTACTCTGCCGTATAGTTTAAAATCTCAAAATACGTTCGCGATTAGTTAGTCTATTAAATTCACGTTTCCTCACCTTCTGTGATATGTAATTCGTCAGCGCACGGTTTCACGTCCGGCATCAAATACTCCATGTACTTTGGTATGATGGTATCTTGGTCTATACTGTGTACGACCGTCTAAAAATTACCCTCGATATTATTTTTAGATAAATACGGTTCATATTACATAAATACGAAACGCATTGACAACACTGAACTATTATAAATATCTGCTGTTATTCGTTTAGCGTGGGCGTTTACTCGAGAATCAATTACCGGTTTACGATTGTACTTTTAATTTAATTTATATTAATTTGTATTAGGTTGTAAATGAGGAGGCTTAGCTAGTTGTAGTATTCTACACGTTCGATTTACTTTTCAGTTTCGTAAGATTCTTTCGATGACGGTACCTTGTAGGTTTATTTAATTAGTTGTGTGTTGTACAAGTAACGTTGTATGGGTTCTTCGGTGCAGTTTGAACAGAGGTTTTTATTTTTCGTTGAAAATACAACTTTAACGAGATCTCGACATCGTAAGAATTATTTGTCCGTTCGCAGAGATTTCAAGTGCAGCATGACAATCCACCAGTCTACTTGTACACTTTATACTGCTCGATCGTCCGCCGAACGATAAGAAATTGTTTAGTTGTGTCTACTCGACTGTTACTCAACAACCCAGCACATTGTAAGACGAATAATGAGAATATTTATATTATCGATCGTTTTTCAAATGGTTCGACGGCGCAAATCTGTCCGTTGGAATGCATTCGCTGGCATCGTGGATGCATTCATCGACCTCGCGAAGCCAACAAAGCGGCAAGAACGAATTAAAAAGCAGACAAGGAACTAATCGAATTTCTGGTCGATAGCGTTTCCCCGAGTGTTGGTGGCACACGCGAATCGCGATCAGAAGTATCTAAAACACTGGGTGACGGGTTGGCACTCACCGCGGCAGCCAGCAGGCAAGTAACAACGAGGATGGCCTTCATGGTTCGGGTTCGAGCGAAAATTGAACTTTGATCGTGAAAAGACGTACCGCCGATCGACTGATTCGGAAAACGGATTTGGCTGAATAGTATCACCGACTGGTGACCGTGGTTCTCCTAGGGCGGTATTTATATAGAACGCATGTCGAAAAATAGCAGGTGCTAAGGCTTGACAGTGTACAGCAGGAAACGAGATAATTCCTTGATTTAGCGGATTTACGTAACAGGCGACTCAAGTACATCCACAACGTTTTCATTACATCCAGCTCGTGTCAGATTTGTCACGCTAAGTGATTGTTTGTCTCGCGAAATGAAGCTGTTTAAGGAAATTATGCGATCGAAATGCCGGTATCATGGATAGTTATTTTTTTCGTAGCGGCGATCAGTAAACAGAAAATGACCTCCTCGTCGGAGCGGCGATCGGTCGTTTCTTTAATCTTCTTCTGCGAACCATTCGTTGATGAATGAGAGATGGTCGAGAAATGATTAGGTCTTCCCCGGAATTATGAACATTTTCTACCTAATTTTAAGCGGATAAACGGAAGAAACTGGATAAAATATCGAAAATTAAAAACTTTAGAGTCGACAGTGTATATTATATTTCCCCTGTTCTTATATTCAAAACCTTTTAATATCTTCGTGTTTTTTCTTATTTTTTAATTATTATCGTCGATGATTTCGTTCGAATCTTCTTAGTGTTTATCCAGGAAACACTCGACGAAAGAGTAGGCCATTTTGCAATCGTCCGGCATGCCTTTGACTGAAAGAAGCGAAGCAACGTCTGTTAACGATGTACAATTTTTAAAAGTATTCGTTTAAAATATTCGTCCGAGTCTAACCTTTCTCAGCGCATGATACCGCGGCGTTTTTCAAGTTTTTAACCATTTCCGGATTTTCGGAGTGCACAGCCTCAATGAACTCGTTCATCATGTCCATGTTCAGTTTAGAATCCTTCAACTGTGTTTGTTCCATGCAAGACAGATATTCATTATTACAGATTTAGGAAATTAAACGCGTTAAGAAATAGCTCTCTTAATTTTTTCTAAATGTTATTCACCATGTTCATTGATTTTAATGTGCATTCACGAAGGCACGAAGCTGCTTCCATTCCTGCTTTTGCATCCTGGTTGAACACATTTCGTAGATTTTCTGAAATATTTTACCAACCATTGCACGATCATTATTAAGATCATAGTAATAGTAATATTACTGCGATATATGTTCTTACGTTCAGTGAAGCCGTTTTCTTTGGCGCAATTTTGAAATTGTTCCTTTGTCTTTTCCAAGTAGACATCAATAATATCCGCGTGAACGGTGGACTTAAAATTAACCAATAATTATCAATTTCAATTTTCAATTACACCGATGGTTACTATAACTATTCTATAACTTTTAGACCTTTTTATAAAGCAAAATTTTATATTAATTTATTGTCTATATGCATACTTACAGCAACGAGCAAAAGGCACGAGACAATGAAAAGAGTATTCATCTCTGTTGTTTTCAGTAACTAGTCCTGCGGTGAAAAATAGTTTACGACGATTAAAAGATCTTAGCTCTGGCTCGTCGTATTTATAATGCGAATATCATTGTAAAAAATATGTCACGTGGTCTGACAACATAAAAAACTTACCGAACAAGTAACAATTACTAGTTAGATCGATATATTTTCCAACGCCACGCTCTGTATGTATAAATGAACCTTGAAAATGAGCAAAAAAACAAACGAACAAAATCTCAAGTAAATTCTTAACTCTGCTACAAATTAACCAAGATGGTACGAAATAATTATACGGTTTTCGGTTCTTATCTAATTATTATTTAACTCAGATTTTTATAATTATACAATGTTGTTCGTCGTTCGTCCGTATATTTATTAAGATTGGTATTTCAGGAAAAGAATATCGCATTATGTCTCAATAGATCCGGTCATGGTGCACTTTGTAAATTCGAACGCAGCATCGCATGGATCTGTGTTTTCTTTAACTGAAACAATTATTGACACGCGTTAGCCAGAAATTGATTTATTTAATTTCATTTAATAAGTGGTTACCTTTCTCAACGCAATAGTTTGCAAGGCTCAGTTGTTCGGTTACTTTATCAGGTTCGGTGAACACTTTTTCAATCACTTCTTGGAAATTCTCAGGTTTAAAGCTGGACTCATCCATCTAAAAGTTTAATTTTCTCTTTGTTTATAAATATTCACTGATAATGCTGAAATTTTGTCAATTAATATCACTTAATAATTTTGTTTTGGCTGAAAATTCACTTACAACCCCTAAACGTTTCAAGATGCATGCTTTCATACATCCGAATTTAGTTCTGTCTTCTCCTTCCAAAGTCGCAACATCGAAGTTACTCATTTCGGCTAAAAGGTGTAAATTTCATTATTATTATTCGATCTGTTTTCTGCTTTCGTGATTATACGAACATTACTATTTTAAATTACTAGACACGGTCTAATAAATAATGAATTTCGATCCAACAAATAATAACAGAGCGTAATTTACTCGGTAAAACACTATGTTCCATGGCACACGGTGCTATGTGTTCTTCCATAATTAGCTTATATTTTCCTCTGACCTCGCTTAAATCGCTGCGTACCATTGTCTAAAATTTACGTCTGTTTGAGTGCATTTCTTACACGTATTTTAAATCTCAGCTTGAATATTCATTGTACTTACCGCAACTACGAGCAAGCAACTAATCGCCAAAAGTAACTTCATTTTTTAAGTTTATCCTTGCAAGACAAAGAAACCAAAGAACCGACTGATGTCTGTCATTGGCTGGATGCGATATTTATATAGAAGTCGTGTTAATACGTGTCGAAGCACACAAGGTGTTAGATTCTATTACGAAGTAACAGGAAGAGAAATAATTACTCCAACTATCTGATTTACGTAACTTGTTTCAATTGCATTCAGAAAAAATAACTAATTTGAGTTATCCGTCAGTGATTTTTCGCGAAAGATGATCGTAATTGCTCGTTTCAACAGAAAAAATAGTGGCAACGATTCTTGGCGTTGTACAGTATACAGTATAAACGTGAGAGAACGATCATCGTTACAAATTGAAATCGGTATATATTCTCTATACGCAAAAAAATAGCGAGAGAATCGACATTTATGTTTGTTTCCCGTTGTAAGATTAATTTATTGACACGGATAAAGCTTCCGTCTCATCGGTCAAAATCGTTTTCGAGAGAATCGTATTTTCTGTTTCTGTTGTCTTTAACCGCGATCTTGTTAAACGTTTCGTCAAGTTCCTGTCGCTGGAACTTTACTCTCGAGACAATTACCGTGATCATGAAATACGTAACGAGCTAACTCAACCACAATTATACTTCCCACTTGTCATCGTTTCTTTCCTAGACAAAATAAACATGTTTCTATAGGCTCGTAGTATCGAAATGAGCGAAGTTTTATTTTGTTTATGGAATAAAGTTTGAAAATTCATTCGCAAGGTTTTATTCGTACAACACGGAAGGGCATCGTTATTATTAAACGCCTTTATTGCGCGCAGAAGTATAGCGAGCTTGTATATTGTTATATAAAAATAATGTGCACAATGCAATCATAAAATTATTAACACAAAGAGACAAGGCAACGCGAGGAAGTAGATCGTGCGCAGAGATCTAGGGAAAAGATGGACAAAGTGTAGACGAGTGAATTAATTGTAAATTATATCTAATTCCTTCCTGGAAAAACCCGTTCTAAGATTACCTATTAACTGTGTATCATAGGAGGTGGTTACGTAGATACAAGCGTTAGAAAATCGAACATTATTCTTTCAAATAGAAGAGCGCGTTAAATAAAGTCTTTTAGAATTTAAATATGAAATTTCATTAGGAGGGAGGACACATGCAAATTAAAAAACGAAAAACCTTTGTTTTTTTTATTCTTTAATAATCAAAATATGATCGGTGGATTATAAAACGTGTTTTTTTCCGTAAAATTCACATGTAGTTTTCTTTATCTTAATTAGAAACATTTGGAAAGACGGTCAACCTTAATTTATTATTTCATACAAATAAATCGATTGACCCATTAGTCGTAAAATGAATAGTTGTTTCTGACAGTTTGTCTTGGCATTCTGATGTCTGGATTGTTGATAATCGTCGGTTAATTACACTCTTCTACAGTATGGTTTAGTCTTAGAATTTCTGCAGCCAGGTTTAACCGCCTTTCGATGACCAAGACAACGATAACTTGTCCGATCATTCTGCAAACTCATCGTTGATGAACCGTTCACGGTAACAAGTAAAGCTGCAACAACGCAAACCTTGATTATCAAATTATAAAGATAGTAATTGTATGATTATTCTATTTTTCTTGATTATTCTATTTTCGTCAAATTACTATAGCCGAACGATCGGTTAGACATTCGAGCTGCACGCGTTATAGCACAAGTTGAAAAATCTCGTAGGAATATTAGACGATTCTTTCACATCTTTCGATCAAAATTTGCATTAGGTTGCCTACAGCGGACCCGATTTATCAAAACAAACATATTATGAAATGACTGCCCCCCCCGGTGTAATCGTATTTAAGAATCACCTCTGGATCCGTCTCAAAAACGCATTGGCCGAACTGCCATGCCATTTCGCATCCATCCGTCGCTGTCACTGCAAATAAATTTGAATATTTCAATAATCGCCGGAACGATCAAACAGATTTTTACCGGGCAAGCGAATCAACCTACCGCGTGGCTTGCATGCATTAATTGTATTCTCAACTCGCTCGGCCCATTCGGGGGTCAACATGAGATGAGCATTTTTTATGAACCAATCGTACAATATTTCGTCGTTTTTCATCTGAAATCAAACGTAGTTTTAAATCTTCGTACCAGCAATGGTCAATTTCTTACGACATCGAGTAGAAAGGAACGGAATCGTGATCCGTCTACGGTGATTCGAAGCAACAAATTTCCTTTAAATTTTTTATTCAATTAGCAGTTTTGCTTGGCTACTTACAGTTTTGGTCGAAGTTAGTATGCATTTCATGTAACACATCAGCCTTTCGTCCTTTGGGAATTCGCCTTTGAATTGACCGTCTAAAAGTTCTACGCCCAAAAACTAAATGCTACAGAACCGTATTATCCTGACGATAATTGATTGGCAAAATATTATTGCCTAATATTTTATCATCGTCTTGTCACTGTTCGCGGCGAATGTTCGCTTCGGGACTGAGGTTCTCACCGATTCGAACGCAGAAAACACCTTGTTCTTTACGGCGGTGGTAATCTACCTAACCGGTGAGAGCGTTGCAACGAAATATGTACAATAGCTGCCAGTGCAAGCAGTTAACTAATAGATGGCAGACGCGTGTCGACTATGCACGCGATCGTACATCGTTTTTCGATACGTGGAACGGATAATAATCATAATGAAATAAATTTTTATGGTGCTCGAGGGTCGCGATTGTAAACGAAACGATCGAGTGCTCGATCAATGACGAGACGACGGAAAATAAGTTTAGATTCTGGATCGAATCGCGTTGGAATAGAGTACCTTTAGGGGTGTCGTTCTTCTTCGAGCAGGTTTTCCTCAAATTTTTAATAGCCTTCTTGGCATCTTCTATGGTCATTTTTTTCTACGAACGAAAGAAACAGTCCGTAGGTACACGTGTCCGGGTGAATCGTAAATACAAGAAAGATCGATCTCGACTCACGCTCTCGGTCTCCTTGACGGTCATCAGGACGACCATGAACGCGACCAGCAGGTAAACGTTCAGACTCTTCATCTTTGTTCTTGCCTATCCCTTATCTCGTACGACTATTCTTCGTTTGTTTCCTTTTCCTGTTCCTTCCTCTGTGTCCGGACAAAAAACGTACGAAAGATACCGCGACTCGCGACTAATTCGCCCTCGATCAATCGGACGGAAAGCAAACATCCATCCCCTTTTATAGCGAGATGGTCGCGCGGTAGGAGAATGGTCAATTTTGGTGTCTTCGGTGACGCGTTTAACCGGTGATTACCGGTGATTAAAACATGCTCGGCTCCTCCACTTTCGAAGAGGACAATCCCAGAAGTTGACGGTTGTGCCGGAAAAGGAGGAGTAACACAGCCACGTAGTAACTTACGGCCAGATGCGCACAACGATTATGTAAAGCCGGTATCACGGTTGATATTTCGGGACCGTTTGTTATTCCTCATCGAACCGATCGAGAAAACGAGTCGAATTATTCGTCGGTTCGACGACTATCGCAGCTACCCTTGCAGTGGTATTGGGTTGTTCGAAAAGCTCCTCCCTAACAATAAATAAATGTTTTATTTGTCCATTATTCGCAATCGTTTTCGAACAACCCAATATCTCGCACAGTCATGTTTGCTTAAACTATGATCGAATCGTTGTATATTTAAATCCAATTGCTTTCACAAGCGCCCTTTGGTTTCACGATTACGTAAAACAGGAAAACAACTTCTTTTTAAGGATAAAATAAAATTTATTTAAAAAATATTATATCCATGGATCTTGGAAAACGAAGAGACAACTTTTACAAGTTAATTTCAACAGTTTGTTTGTTCGTGAATCCATGGTGTCGTCTTATGGTGTTTGTTATATAACATAAATGATATGAATCTACGGTATCAGTTAGTTTTCCCCATTCGATGAGTAATTGTTTTTGGGTCTGTCGGCTCGTGTGTACTTTGGTCTTTTAAGGGAAAAAGAATACTTCCGGATCCGCTGCGTAAGTGCATTTCACGTATCCGTAGGTCATTTTGCATGGGTCGGTGTCGTATTCTGTGTACAATGTTAGAAATTCGAGTAATCGTTGGACAATTATCGGGGGAGTATTATACGCAAAATTGGAGATCGAAACGTGAAATCATCGTTATAAATTCTAGTTATTTTTCTCATTACTTGTGAATACTGACATTCCGCGATTAAACTAGTATTCAAAGCTTTCTCTTCTTACCTTCCGATTTACATTTTATTATGGCTTCCTTTATTCGAGTCGCGGCTTCTGGTGTCATCATTGCATCCAGTTGTTTCGTTATCATATTAAAATCGATATTCCCGTTTTTGAACTAAAAACGAAATACGTATTTGAACCGTAATTTACGTGAGATTAGGCTTTGAAATTTTGCAACTGAATTTTTCTTACGCTACGCATTGCTTTCATGATGCAATTTGTGTAACACGCGAGATTGTCATCGTCTGGAAATTCTCCTCTCCTTATTCCAGCGACTAGCTCTACAAGTATAAAAAAGAAAAAAAAATGAAATTACTGTCTGTCTGAACTTACGAAAAATTTAATTCGAATATGTTAACGTTACCTTCGGTGGTGTCAATTTTTTGCAAACACGAGTTTCTCAAAGCCTTGGCCATCTTTTCCAATTGGTCTTGGCTAACAGCCTGCGGTGTTTAACAGAAAAAATTATAATATCGATTCGTAGCGTCTAGTAAATATTTCAGGTAAAGCACACATTCGTCCCGAAGAATCGCGACGAAACTTACACTTTTCACCGGTTTAAATGCTAAAACCACAAACAAAATTGCGGTAAACAACTCTTTCATATACATATTTCGACTTTTTAACCGAAACGAGACAAAGTTGGAAAGAGATAATCCTGTTAAAATCTGACGACTGATGCCTTCTTTAGCCTGTCTTCTCCTTATAAACGCTTTGTATTAAATGCTCGACTGTTTTGAATGTTACAGTCCGTCATTTACAACTCCGATAATTCGACATTAGCGATGGAATTACAAAGGAAGACGGTAGTTTTCAGCTCGATGACAAGTTCGTTGATTTTATGTAACGCGGTAAGAACCGGCTTCCATTCCGAATTATCGTTTAGATCATACGTACGGCTTGTTTTCAAATATCCTCGTTTCGAAACGAAATGTTCCGGTGTATTATCGCTGGACTACGCAACTATCTCGAATCCCATCCCTTAGGTTCGCGGTTTCCATGCCACTGCTCCGCGAAGTAAGTCGAGATGTGTTTGTTCGCTTTACCCTGGTCCACTCGAACCCTTCTGCGCCAAAAGATACGCGTTAACGTCGAACCATTGTATCTCGAGAAACACCCTTGAACCAGGTCTGCCTAGAAACCACCCTCGCCGTCTCCGCTCTGTTGCGGTCATTAGTCCGAGAGCCACTCTTTGTCGGATAATTACATTTTTTCCCTTCATTTTCCTCCTTTGCCTCGATTTCTCCGCGGTTAATTTCCACCTGATCGTCCCATGCTCGAACCGTTCTTCCTTTTCTTATTCCGAGGGTTTCTCTTATCTGTTTAATTCCTTGTACCGACAATAAATCCTGGAATCCTGGAACATGGACTCCGAGAATACGTCTTGGAAAGCATTCGTGGATGCGCGGGCGATAACAGAGAAAGTTGTTATGATTTCGCGAGTCGTTATTTGGAAACGAGCACGCCACGTCGAGATGTGGGTGAAGGAAGCCTGGTATTGCGCGATCGAATTCTCTGGTTCGGATTTCGATGTCGCCTCGTGGCGAAACTTTGTTATCGCCCGCGCGAGTATTTTCAGTCGGCGTGAAAATTGTCAGCAAAAGACGTTAACGCGTTCGTCGAGGCCGACTAACAAATTAATTGCCCGCCGCGTCCCGATTAAAGCCATCTCTTTGTGATGCTAATTACCTTTCGATTAAACTCCGGAGTCCGCCGTGCCCGCCGGACGAATTAGCTTTCAGTCGGCGCTGATTCGAGCAACTTACTTTCCGCGGAAAATTTCAAGCAAATTGCGGCTCGAGCTTTTCAGCTGATCCCCTCGTTTCTACCCGATACGCCCCCTCTCCCTCGAGAGAGAAAAAAATATACGCTCGCAGTTCGCGTTCCTAATCAGGGTGGACTTTTGGAACTTTTACTGTTCGCGACTTTCGCTGGCCCTTTTGCAATCGCAGCCTTTGACGGTCGCTTTTGTTCATGGAGAACGGGGATAGAAGCATTCATTTTTGTCGGGGTTGGTTTCGCTGGGATAAAATTTTATTCAATTCGAGGCGATCGATGGACTGTTAGAAAGTTGTTTGGCGTGTTAATCTCTTCCCGCGAAACTGTGCTCGTCCTTGCGGATCCAGAGTTGCGCAACGAGATCGTACCAAGCTCCTCGAATATTTTCGATTTCAATTTGTTAGCGCACGACTCCGAGGACGAAAATGGTTTGGTCTCGACTCCCGAGATATACGCGTCGCGCTCTTCCGGCACCCAGTGACTCACAAACTTGTTTTCTCTCTATCGCGGCCTGAACGTTTAATCTACCGATCCTCGTTTGCGACGATAGTCCACGCCACGGAAAGAATACATAAGTCGTGTTACCAGTTCGCACGATCCTCGATTCCGCTTTACGTCGACTCTAAACGCGACTAGGTGTTCCATATTTACGAATTGAAATCTGAAGATTACTATTTTTTCTTTCGAGATCGTAAAAATAATCGTACGAACGTCTGCTGGAAAACGCGGAGTCGAATTTTCGACGCCATGGATCACAGGAAGCGAAAGATTTCGACTCGTATCGCTGTCTGCTGTTCTGTTTTTACGTCTCGATTGGCGTACGCTCGCACACGGACGCAAGCATAATCATCGTATCCGTTTCCTGAGTTTCGAGCGAGGACACACGTCCATTCGACGATAAACAAACTGAAATGGTAACGTTTCTTAAAATAATCTTCGCCCGTGATCTTTCCCGTATAGTTCGAGCCTTAAAATGTTCCAATTGTTTATTAGATCGTAGTCGCGGAGGCACTTTGCTCGCATTAGCCTGCGTTACGGGAATCCCTGCATATTACGACCAATCAATGACGCTCAACTCGCATAAAGGGAATTGGATTGGGGAGAACAAAGGTGGATCGTAACGAAGCCTGACACTGGGCAATTAGCGCCGGATCGTTTTTTGATTAAATTGCTGCCGAATGTCGAGGTACATATACTATAACGATATTACCGTGGGCAGCTTTTATTCTTCCCGATTCGAGAAAGTTGCTCCTCGAACGAGATTCAAGCGACGGAGTAACGTAAAATTATTCCAACTCGAGCTCCAGCTAGAAATGCATTTTAAACGCGGACCATATTTTTTCTAGAAAAGCATTAATAATCTCTGTTACGAGACGCTGACTGACCATTACGTTCGTAATACAGTGCCGTGATTAGCCCTATGTATTTGCGACTCGTAATTCCAACAACCGATTATGCAATAATAATTATGCGGTATTCGTCAACGCTTAATAAGCATACGCAGTAATACGCGGTTAACCGAAACCAAAGAACAGAGTTTATCGTAATAATATTAGCTGATTTCGTTAATCAATGAAACAGTTTGATGAAATAGATTACGCTTGTGTTTCTCTTTTTAATTTTTCAAACTCTATGCTACGCAACGATTTCGTTGCTGTACAAGAGATCGCTGGAGAATTTTTAAAGAACGTTATAATGATAACGCGGTATGGGAGTACGTGTCTCGACGATGTTGTAATTTCCTTAATTATAAATGCTGTTGCGAACGTAGGAACAAAGACGCTTAACGGAAGTCGCGAATGTAATTAGTTTAGTGCAGTTAATTAGCAATACCTTTGGAAATAGATGTAATAATTTTCCATGTTCCCACGATCCTTGTATTTTTTCGTCGAGCAATTTTGTTTGCTCGACCCGAGCACGTAAACAAACGAGAACCACATTGTTATTTATGCCGGAAACGGAATTGCATATCTTGGAACGAAGCCTTTGTTTCCATCTCAATATTATAATTCGTAAGAACGATTGATAACTATAAATAACTATCTTTCTTAGTAGTTGCTGTCGTTAATTACGAAACAGTTATCGATTTAAAAATGGTATTAGCCTTGATCTCTTGGATATTCAAAGACATCGTGTTTTAATAATCAAAGAAAACTTTACGCGTAGTTCGATTTCTGCGCTTAAAAATTCCGTTGTAACGAGTTGAACGAATTTCAATCGTAAAGGTGTTATTACTGTTACTGCATATAACGAAAAATTTTTCCTTTCGTTGCAAGCTTCCCTTGCATCTGTCGAGCAAACGGTAGGTACTATGGCGGTCTCGTTTATTAATAAACAGCTGGAACTCCGGTTCGTTCCGTCTTTTTTCCTCTTTTCTTTTAATGAAGACATACTCGCGACAACGTACGAAACGTACACTCGGTATATTTTAGTTGCATGATTCAGCGGCGGCAGAACCCGCGCCTCCGCATCTTCCTTCTCTGTTATTTTTTAACGTTCGCTGTTATCTGCATCGAATATGAATAAGACTATGAATCAAAATTACTCCGTAGAAACGTTGATAACGATAACACGTTTGTTCGGTACGATTCAATATCGTCTTATGGTGTTTTTCTGCTCGTTTTAAAGATACACTCCGTACACTGATGGTTGGAAAAATGGTCGCGATCATTTTTACAGTAACTCTACGATAAACAATTCCATAGTTACAACTCTGTTGTACGCGTAACAGAAGAGTCTTTTTTTATGCGCAACGAGATAACAAATTATTACTGTTTACGATCGAGTAGGCCGTATGCACATGAGAGCTCCGTGAAAGTCGCAGACTTTAAGGGCACGGTTGTCGGTACTGGTGGTAATGGTTGGTAGCAACGATGGTGGTGGAGGTGGAGGTGATGACGAAGAGGAGGTTGATGGGCATGATGGTGTTGATGCTGCAACCAGTGGTGCTGGAGTCTTTCTCTGATCGTCGTCCTCTTTCGTGGCGACCTGCTATATTTATCCGGATCTACGTAGCACAAAGATTCGTGGTTCGACTTCTTATCACTTTTTTTATCAAGTGTGATGCAATTTATAGATAAACAATGGGAAATAATCGTCATCACCCCCTGAAATGTCACGAATCATCGTTGGTATCGTGTCAAACTAGAGCGTCGCGAAATCTACCTACATGCATTGACCAACATTCGAGTCGAGAAAGTTACTCATAATTGTTATAAAAGTACCTATGCTTAAATTCGGGGCAACGAAAGATGATATCGGTAGAAGGGTATTTGAACGTACTTAGAGAGAGAAGGAAACTACCTGGCGTGATAATAGTCGAAAGGTTGCTCGCAAATACGTGTCTTTGTTTACGTTGCAGACCCGAGGCACGCGAGACTCGGGCACCCGAACGATTTCGAGGGCAAGGACTGCGGGTTCAGTGTCTCGGTGTCCGTGCTCGAGCGAACTTGTTAATCGTGAAGTGAACGTGGATCCTTCGAAGAGTGTACGCAAACAAACGCGAACAGCGCTAATTTCGAAAAGATAAAAATAGTTGCGCCCCCGTTTGATGTGTTTTGTATGGTTTCGATGCTGACACGTGGCCGGCCAGCCGGCTCAAGGGATTTTAGAGTACCTGCAGTTGGATGCTTCATGCTTATTCACGACGCGTGTTAGGTACGTTGACTCTGTTTTATTCATTTTCTCGACGCTTGTGCAAATTTATTTCGTTGTGCAGTACTCCAGGATCCTTTGTACGAGACTGTTTATTCTTTGTTTACGGGCAAAGGTAACTCTGTGCGTCGATGATTCGTCGATAGTTTGAAGCTTGGTCCAAGTCGAAGGTGTTTTAGACATTTTTTGTTCCTCATACGGCAGCGAAGGGGACGATTCGTCGTTCGGTGTACAGGAACTACGCTCGATGCTCTTACGGAATGCCCCTTCTTTGGAAACGGAGCGACACGAGCGAACCGTCAAGTGTCCGTTTGAAAATTCTTCCACGAATTCATGAACGACACAAGGTATATACTCGGGATCTGTATGGAGTTATTTATCGCGACTCGAATACGGTTAACGCTATACCTCCCGATTCGCGGTTTTCAGCGATCAATTAAGCTGATTGCTCGACCTACGCGAAACAATAAATCGTTTACTCGTCGTTGGACGCGGAACGTAGATCGATGCTCCGTTAAACAGTTTCCCGACTATGTTAACGAACGTTTCTTTTTTCGATCACCCAGTACATGCGTAACGCATCGAGGGACCGTGGCTTTTTAAAGCGTATTCGAGCTTGTTACTCGCTAACTTATTGTTTTACACACCAACACTCTGTCAGTCTACTTAACCTCATCTATCTCTTAGGCTCTCTGGCTTGCTCCCCTTCCTTTTCGTACGATAAAAGAAACCGTATTGCCTCGATTTGAACGTTGCACCGTTACGTTCCGTTTCATTAATGGTAATTTACATCGACGCTTACCGGGAGTCGAACCACCGTGCATCGACGTGGAAGATAAAAATTATTAAATCATCTTCTAAACTCCTCCGAATCGAAAGAAAAGACGTCAAGGTTCGCTTCTATCGAGAGCGATACGGGCATGCGGGTCGGACTAATTTAAGCTGATTTCATATCCTGATCGCCCATCGTGTTTCCGTCTTACCCCTTTCCTTGCGTTTCGATGGCCGCTGGAAGCGTTTAATTTTGATCAGTTTAAAAAAAGTTTGAATTTCTCTAGAATATTTGTGCGCAAAGATCGTCAAGAAATCCTGAGAGGCTGTTACACCGTTCTCGATGAAAACTTATCGCTGCTTAATTAAGAAATTTTCCAACGGAAGTTCGCTCGATCTCAGAATTGAAATGACTCGCGCGTTTTCTCTCTTTATCCGAGGCTGAAAACCCGTTAAACGCACGTTTATGCGCACAATGGTCCGCGTCCAGGTTTCTTTCAAATGTACGCCCCCTTCTTCCCTCCCGAATCGTTCCGAACTCGCATTCAGCCCTTTTCGAGCTACCCCTCCGGGAAGAGCCACCCTATTCGCGAGCTCCACGAACTTCTAACGAAGCAAAAATGTCGAGATTACGTCTACGACGGAGGATTGATCGACAGTTCTATCGTCTGCAGCATTGTTCGTGGAATGAAACCGAACGCAAAACTGGGGGTGTTGAGTCGGGTTTTCCAGAGGCACCTCCGCCGCGGCTTATTACTTTTGACATTTTTACGTTTTTGCCCGTGACACCTGCTCTCAACTTTATTAAACCCCTCGGCAGACGTCGTTTTGCATCTCTGGTTGGGCGAAAACAGTGACCCTTGAGATAAAATGATTTCTGAGCGCCGGGGGACGGGGAAGGAAGGGCCGAGCGATGATTAACTTTTGAATCGTTGAAAGAAAAGGAAAAATCATAAAATATGTATTTCTCCCGGAGGGCGAAGAATCAGATCGCTTCTTTAAAAAATATGAAAAATAATTCTGGTCTCGCTTTCGTCTACAGTAGTCTTACAACAAAAAAAGTTCCGCGTCGAATCTCATTCTTAATATCAGCCCGACGCGACGCCAAAAGGGCTGAAATTGAATCGTGACTCCACTTGTTCTTCGTACCCGGGGTCGACGAAACACGAATATGCGACGCAGGAAGTCAGAAAGTTATAACGATGGTTCAATTTCCGCCCTCCTACGCGAATACGTATTCATGTTTTAGCGAGTCTCGATTCGTTTCTGCGAACAATTAATACGCCTAAACGTTTACTTTACAAAATTAATATATGTATATCCTCAAATTATTTTAAGGAGTACTTTACGCGATACTCGAGCTACGAAAGATCGAGATAAGTGCCTGCCATAAATTTAATATTTCCTTAATTATATTTCGGGTATATAGGCAACCCCAAACATTCGGCGTATGTGTTCTGTTTACGGGGAGCAGAATTTGCTGCATTGTTGGCAAGATTTTCACGCAAGAATTTGCTTTGCGTTCGTCGGGGCGCGGACTTTCCCCTCGTGCTCGATCCACCGTAGACGATGAATTGAATTTAGAGACCGAAAAGTTCAGCGAAGGAGCATCGAGTGGCTATAGAAAAAGGCAAACTACGTTAAACATGAATTTACGATGACACATAGGGTGGTTTGTGTACGCGGAAAATTGAATTTCGCGGGAACTCCCGAAGCACTTGGTTGAAACAGTTGGAAGAAGGATCTTTTCTAACGTTCCATCAATGTACTTGTAACTATATCGTAAATTATGTCGTGAAAATCTGTTACGTTCCTGATGAATTTCTCGAATCGAAAGGTGTCATAACGATATCCCCGAGGATGCGTCGTAATATCAATTCGTCGCGTCCTCTTTTTCCCCGATCGTGGCCGTTATATGCCCACGGGACTCGAGCCCGTAGTCGACGCGAATTTACGACCGGCGTCGCATCGAAAATTCATAATAGCCGGTCAAAATTCGCTCCGGCAATCAAAGTTCCGATGCCTTAATCGAGCCATCGACGTTCATGGCTCGCCTTGACCTCCATAGGGCCACAGGCGAATTTCTTATGTCATCGTCGAGACATAAACCAGCATTCCTGCCCGTAAAAGTTTAGCGTACCGTTGCCGTTTATTCGTTTAATCTTTGATCGATGATTTTCACGCGGTCGAGGCGCGCTCCCATGGATCGCTTTATCGTTATTCTTGGTCGGTAGCTACAGTCATTGCCCTGATTGGTCTCGATTAAAATTGACTTGCGAAATCGTCCGAACGATCTGTGCCGATGACATCAGACGGTCGTAAGACAGCCTACGAGCTAACATATGTTCCTTGTTCCCAACAACCAGATGCAACAACGCCAACGACTTCGCTTACTATTTAACGCATCCTGCTTAACGAGCACGCATACATTCAGGCGTTGGAATTTTGGCGAAAGGTTAGAGTGCAGCGAGCGTCTGTCGCGCGTACGTTATCGGCACGACCAAAGAGAGAAAGCAATCGAAGATACTCGATCTTGAAAACGCGTAATTCATAACCGCTGTTCCGCCCGATTGCTTTTGGCGCGGACGTCGCGCAAAATTATTGTCTTGCGAGTAAGCGAAGACTCTTCGCTAAATAACGTTTGCCCGCGCAATTTCTCGCGGTGTCTTTCGCGTCGTATCCACGAGGTTTAATCCACGCTCGTAAATCCAAAGATCCTGAAACAACCATCGAGATCCGTGCAGTTTAACGACGACGCCGTAAGCCGACGCTTTAGCGAAGCTTACAATTTAAATCCCACGGGCTGCACGCGAAACCGATGAAATATCGTCGCAAATTACTGCCAAAATTCGACCCCGAGTCCGGAAATTTGCTATGGTCCGCGAGACGAAAAGGGCCTCAAACTGACGATTCGCACAAGTTAACACTCTGTACCGCGAAGAACGCCTGAACGAACTTGAAAGAATGCAACAGTTGCTTTATGAACAGTCGTTTCTTGTTTACGTGTTTTTAATATCGATAACGAGCATTCCTATTGACTTTTAACGAAACTGTGCTTTTGTTTTAATTGCAGATACGGTTCCTATGGTGCGCGGCGGTTTTTCGTGGTCGGTGAAATAGTGCATCTTTGTGTAATCTTCGTTATAGAGGATTATCGTATTCGTGGGACGCGGTGCCAAAAGCTTGATGACTAATATGAGAAGGAGATGACGTCGTTGGTACAGAGGGACTTCGAGTCTCCGAGAAAGAGGGAATCCACGGGCAGCAATGCGTCCAGCTACTTGATGGTAAATGAAAACGATAAACATACCTAATCCCAGCGATTTTTGTTGTTTGAAAAAATTTCGAAAAGAGCGTCGTTCCGCGAGGGTCACTACCATCTCACCAAGTCTACGTAATAATATCTAAGGAAGAATTGAAGCCGCTTTCGGGGCTCGTGTTATCGTTGTCCAAATAACTTCTGATACGAGGATCCAGCGTAACCCTTATCCTTATCGCGCGAAGATGTCCACGGATACCGTGGGCGGGATCGTGTGTGTCGTTTGTACATGTATGTACAATACAAACGGGAACGAACCGTCGCGACGCCGATGTGTATTCAAAGATGTCGACCTCGCGCAAACGACGCTCGTAACCGTAGCCACGAAAGTCACAACACGTAGGGCGCGGGAGGAAGTGACGTAATTTGTCAGCCGGGCCTAGAGACGGGAAAGTCGGTAGAAAATATTCGGGAAACACGGGACGGAGAAACATCTTTTTCCTTTTTATATTCCTCGCCCTTCGCTCGATTCCATCCCACGCGTACTTGCGTTATCATCGCCGTCCTCGCTTTTGATTATCCACGCGAACGTCGCGCGTTTCTTCTTTTCCTCTGTGTATTCGTCGGTTTACGCGAGCATAGAATTTAAATCGTTCCACGATATTCTAATTCTTTACGAATTAATTTTCTATCGGATCGATCTACCCTGGAAGACCGAAACACGATAAAACCGTCATCTCTTTGCTCTTCCATTCTGCTGGAAATTCTGGTTCTCTTTCATTAGACATTAAAAATGTTCAAACGTAAATGTACGACGTTTCGAACGAGGCTGCTCGCTCCTCGGACGCGTCTTTTTGCGATTTCTCGATCGGTATTGAACGAGCAGCGTGACCGGAATTTTATAAACGACGGGGGAAATATTACCGAAGGCGGGGAACTCGAAAGGTATGCAAAAGGGCAAAAAGTGAAGTATCGCTGTGGCTGGAGGGTCGACGGTGAAACGCCAAGTCGGCGGAATCCCGTTTAATGCAAATTTTGTCATGCACCAAAGCCATATCTCGCCGTTGTAGAATTAATGTTCGCGATGTTTCCTTTTCATTTCCGGTCGCGCGCGTCGTCCGGGACGATTTTCTAAATATGATGGATAGTCGACGTTCCTACGCTCTTGAGCCGTGACTCGAAGCTCCTTTGTTCTCGGCAATCGCAAAAATATACTCCGTTCCAATGATTTGCGATATTTATCAAAATTAACATCGCAAAAAATCGCGCCTTAATCATTTTCTTGGCACTTTCTAATTTCTTGACGGTCATGTAAATTACTTCGAACAAATCGGTTTCATCTTTGGCCGATAATTACTCACCTCGAACAACAGTATAGCCGATAAGATTAGTAGAATCAATGGCTAAAGCAATCGTGTAGAGAGCGACGCAATTAACTGGAATTTCAATGGACCGAGTTGTCTAGACGATTATGCGAGAACACGGACTCCATTCCCGCTTCTTGCACGCTTACGGGGACTATTACGTACCTCGCAGCTTAAAAACGTTTTAACTTCGCGCGTGGATAAGAACAGATAGCTTTCTGTCCCCAAGGAAACGCGTGAGTTAATGCGAGGGAGAATTATGCCGTAGACAGCGTTCGCGATTTTTCTTGAGATCGTTTAAAATTTTAAACGCCGGAACGTTTCGACATTAATCGAAGCCTGTGAGAACGCACGGCTAATTGGAACCACGGATATCCAGCGACAGAGTAGACTCGTTGTCAGCCAGAAGATCGAACATGTACCGGCAATTGTTCGACAAGAAACTTTCTAGACACTGAAACGACGTCTGCGGAAATGTCTTCCGATGTGGTTCGATCGATGCGCATCGGGTGTCGAAGGAGCATTGTTTCGAGACTCGTATTGTTCGTATTTCTATCCAGAGTTGAGCAAACTTTGCCACGAACAAAGGGTACAAGTTTTTGACCGGAACTTAGAGACAAATTAATTTAGGAAAGGGGTGCTCGCGAACCCCCAATTCTTACGACGCGAGAAAGCATTGTTGGCAACGTTTACCGTATAGTTTATTCTATAATTAGTCTGTCCGTGGTTAGGGCAAAGTCCTATCTTGCGATCACCGTTGGTCGTGCATCGGATCGATGCCGAGGAAAAGAGAGAAAAATGAAGGCAACGTTGAGAAGTTTCAGCGAAGCGAACGCTTCTATCGCATCGTGCCGGACCATTGGCGCGGAAGAAACTCGAACGATGCCAGAGAGAGAGAGAAAGAGAGAGAGTAGGAAAGAGGAAAGCGTAAAACCGCAACCATAAATCGTTCGTTCAATCAAGTTAAAACGATGTTAAATTATTTGGAAGGGCGTAGCGCGGTGGTAAAAGTCGAAAACTCGAGAATGTACAACGCCGATCTTACAACCGTTCACCGGAATTATATTCTTGGAGGGCACGTGGCGACCCGTAGGACGTGTCCCTTTAAGGCCCGACGACTTAAAGCAGACCCTGTAAAGAAAGTCGAGCCACTCGAGGGTGGTTGCGAATCTTTTTGCGAGACGCTCGAGGGGAAATCCCGTCCGTACGCGCGACTTTGTTTTTCTTCTTCCTTTAACTCGATACCCACGAGACGGTCCCTCCTCTTCGAACGTACCTTCGATAGACTGTCAAAGAGTATAAAGAAGTCATGTTTGTTTGGATCAGATGTTGCTATGGAAATTGAACAGCGAGCCGGTGGCACGTTCGTATCGATTCCAAGCTACAAGTACACACGACTTGTAACGTGGCTGTACAACCGGCGTTAAACTTCGGTTCACTCACCTGCGTCGATCGAAAGAAGATGTTTACAAAAACGTTTCAACTAGCCTGCATAGACGAAACGATAACACTTTCTTTTACGTGCCATTCTTACGGACCACCGTCGCCGCACCGAACAGTGGAATCGTTTCGAGTTTTTAACTAACAGTTTATGACGAATGTCGGCGTGAACATTTTCTAACGTCGTTCTCCGTTGTTGAGCGCAGCGCGTAAAATGGGATCGGGTCGCGTATGCGTCAGTCGTGTGGAATTAGTGGCGTCGCGTGGTACGAATTGGTGAAACGTTCGAAAAGTGACGAAGTGGTGTACTCTCGACCCAAAGTTTTAAACATCCTGGTGAGTGAATTTGAACGTCGAGAAGTGCATAAATCACGATCGCAGGATCGCTCGGCGATCAGTATTCGCGACGCGTGTTCCTCGGCTGGGAAATTTCATAGATTCACCTTCGCTCGAACCTCAGTTTTGATTCTATTCCTGCGTCCACGTTTTTCTTTCTACCGCGGTGCTGACTGATGCATAAAGATATGCGCTTACGAACGCCGCGGCCTCTCGTTGTCTTATCAACTCTGGTGTCGTGCGTTCGTTGGCACACAGAGGCTAGTAAATAAATGGTGAACACGGGAAACACGTAACATAGCCGATCGAGTGCAGCTGTCGCTGGCTGCACACTCTGTGTGCCCGCGGTTTCAGGCCGTAAAAATTATACTCGACGTTAGGAGCAGCCAACTTTCCTCGTTGCTTTTATTCCGAGGTTTTACTGTATTCGTTGGACGCCTTCGGGATAACCTCCGACCACGATCGTGCGCGGTGACTTTCAGGTTGACATTTCAGACGTATCGAATTCGTGACAATGCTCGTTGTCTCTCCATTTTGAATAAAAATTGAATTTGCTCGTATAGTGTGTACGTATCGCCGACGCTTCGGAATAGCTCGAGCGGAGACACCCGTTATACTCGACGCTTCCGTTGAACGTGTCCCTATTAAACGAATTCTTACAACGGCAGTGGACATTCGACTTTTGCGGGAGACGCACGTCGCTGACCGGACGCGTGTTGGAGGTTTATTTGTCGGCCGGTTGCATTATGTGCGTGCATCGTCCATTACGATAACGAGCTGCTGGGCACCGAAGCCGGAGCCAGAGCCCCGGAGCCCGTTTAATTGTCGTTTGCGGCGCCTAATCGTTGTTGCACCCCCTCTACGTTCCATGTGCCACTGGCTGCGACTGGTATAAACAACGCCCGGTGAAAACAACCACGCCAAGTCCACCGTGCTTGCACGCGAGGTGCATATAAATGGATGCTGATAGATCAGCGCCGACTACGGTTTCTGTGCGTCGATATTGGGACTTTGATAAAGATGCTCGATTCCCCCGGAGAATAGTTGTTCTTCCGATCGATACGACCAGCAAGGTGATTAAGCGGCAAATTGAATTTCGGGCGTGGATCGAATAAATTCTCATCTACTCCGCAGGAAGTTGAAAAATTCCATCGGGGGCAGATATCGAATGGGGTTGAGGAACTTTTTACTTTTTATCCCGCGCGTTCGTCGCAGGCAACCGGTATGCCGGAGTGAAATATTGGGTGGTCTATGTACATATGTGGGTGCATTATGCAAACTAACAGACCATTGGACGGGACGTAGGCATACATTGTCGGCTATCTCGAACGGCGATCCGAACGACTCTGTTTTCCTTCGCGCTGTTCCTTCGCTACGAAACCAACTCGAACCCGTGTACCATTCAGACTGGATCAGACAATAATTCACTCGTTTTCGGGTATCCGTGAGAAACGTAATTAATCCGCCGTCGAAATCTTTATTCTTCCCCGTCGGTGAATTTAATTAAACAAAGACCAGAATTGAATTAAACGCGGCGACAACGGTACAACGTGTTGCGCAGCAGCAACGACAGCGGACCGGTGCTGATTGGATCTAATCCGTTTAATTCGGAGAATGAGTTTCAGCGGGCCATTTTAATTCGAGCGCGCTGCCCTACCGTCGCTCGCATTTGCTCCTCGAACGCTCTTCTTCTTTGGCTTACAGTAAGGGTACGCGGTAGTTTAATGGCCGAAAGCTTCGATATACGATACGGTTATTAGAAATTTCGAACGGCGTATCTTAAGCGAAAATCACGGTGTTTAGGATGCAAAAAGTGGACCCAACACGCGAATCGCGATCTTGGTCAGGGACACGAAAATCGTTTTTGCATTTTTTACAAGTAGCGAGAAAAGTCGCGGATGAAAAACGCTGGTAACTCGGCCATGGTCGGAGCTTTTGCGGCGAAACAGCCGAGCTTATCCTTGCTCTGTAAATATCCGAACGTCAAGGTTCCACTGCGCTTTTATGCGAATTCTTGTCAAGTTTTTCATCGGTTAACGGTGCTCGTTAAAAATTCTAGACGCGTCACGGTCGTCGTGCATTTTTTACACGGCTCTTCCGACCTCGCTAGCATACTTTTGATTTCTCTTTGGGATTCATCATCGGAGATGGATGGACGGTCGTCTATTCATCGTACGAAAAAAAAACGTTGAAACGACCGACGAAAAGTTTCTAGATCCCGAATTCTATCCTATTCTTTATGGTTGGTTTGGCGATCGTATCGATTTCAACGGTTTCGCGAGCAAACGTTCGACAGCCGTAATATCTAACCAGAGTCCTATGGGGTTCCATGCTTGGTTGCTCGCGTGACTCACATCGAATATGCGTGCACGAGATTCCGCGTACGAATCGAATATTCGGTAACCGAAGGTACCGCGTTACACAGGTATCTCTTGTCCACGGTTCAAAGCGCAGACATTCGAATCTGCCGCATTTTTATTTGAAACATGAATTTTGAATGCGTACGAACATACTTGGAACAGACGCTGTGCATTTGAAACACGAACATCTATTTGAAATTCGATCGCGCGTTCCGTTTCGAACCTTTCCATTTACGGTGCAATGATAAATGTAGCGGGGAACGGTAGAAACTGCGACCAGATTAGCGAACAACAATGCCACATTCTATTAGCAGTCGATCGAACCATCCTTGACAAGGGACGAGCATGAAAATTTCAGAAACGTACTGGGATTCGTTGAACCGTGCGGCGTACCCGTGTCACAACGAGACTCGATACTCGTATCGACAGATTGCGGTCCACGGTCCACGGTGGAGGTAAACGAGGGTTGAAAATCGGGACGGGGGGTTAGGGTTGAATTGCAATTACATTCTCACGATGACCCTTTAAGGTCGACTCAACTTCTGAGCGCCGCGAGGGCTCCGGTGGTATTTAAATTGCGCTCGAGAACGAGCGTTATGCTGCGCTCTATCGCATTATTGCTGTACGCGTTACGAGCACCCCCAAGTCGAGTCCCGTAACCCTCGACCAAAAGCTAACAATTTTCTTCAAGATACAGCATTAATTGTCTTCCTAAAATTGCTACCCTTTCGCGTTTACTCGAACGAAGTTATCGACAGCATTCTCTGCGACCGTGCCGCGAATAACTAAATATTTGTAAAGTCTAGTCGTCGCGTCGGTTAAGCCCCACGCGGTCCACTGTGCACGATTCGCATGAAAGCAAACTTACTTCCGTTCATTATTTATGTAATTCCACTCGAGTCGCTCCGTCGGCATTAATACAGGATTTCACAATAACCGTGCGTAATTAAAGCCGTTCTGTCGTGCCGTGAATGGGAGTTCCAGCGGTGAAAAGAGGACGATGGTGAAGTAGCCGAGTACCCGTTACGAGTTGCCTGTTTCTTTTTTTCGTTGCATGCGTTGCCATAGCGGTATAATAAATGGACAGATTTCATACGCGGAAGTACGCGTCTTTCGTCGATCACGCTCTGACGAGAGTTTGTTCCGAGCCAGTTAATATCTAAATCCCTTTAGATAGCAATTGTAACGTGGAGGGAATTCGATACGAGACACGCGGACGCGTAAATTAATTTTTCGGCTATAATATCCCGTCGGGTGGTAGATTGGACGGAAGATATACCGTATACTACATTGCCTTTACCGCGTCGCCCGATATCGCCCCCGCGTCGAACGGCGAAACTTTATCGGACGTCTCCGCGTTCAATATTGACTTTACGAAAGTGCCTCTGGATGGAAACCTTCTAATTTTCCGGACTCCGATTCCATGATGCAATGCAAATACAGGAGGCATTCGCTGTACAGCAGAAACGACTGCGACGGGATGTGCCCCCGTACGAACTTCGTTTCTCCCCAATACTCTAAAAATCGCGAAATTTCGAACACCGACGCGGCATTAAATGTCTCGCCTTAAATTTTATTCGAGTTATACTCCCGACGCGTAAATATTAGTCCGTAGACTGGCTATTCATTAAACGGTAAAACACGATCGATGTACCGCTGCGAAACGAGGTGTGCTCCGACAGCCCTAACCCCTTTTGCTTCTCTTTCAGCTGCTTAATTCCCTGGCGACCGATTTGGACTGCATGCTGAGCGAGCTCTGCACGACCCCAAATTCCTATGAGCGGTGAGTATCTCTTCTTCTTCTTCTTCTCTTAGTCTTCTCGAGGTCAAGAGCAGATCTACTCGACTCCTTGCTTTTTTCTCGATATAGTTTCGAAACAGTGTTTTTGAAGGGCACGGTAGTCGCACGTTTGTTAAAAAATTAGTTGTAATTGCGGGAATTTAATTTTCTTAGCAGCATGGAGTTCTGCTAAAGTATTCTAGTTTTGGGCAAACGAGGATCGTAGATTCTCGAAGAGGGTGACGTCGTTGAACAACCATCGTTAGCCACCCCTTTCGAGTGACCACGGTTAAATCATGAATCCCCGTAATTTATGAGGGAAATGTTCCCAACGCCTCGTGGCCTCGCGCACGCGGAATAATTTCCATATCGTAAGGGCTTCCTAGTGATCTATGGAAGACTTTGCCTACAATATCCGCGATGGTATATGGGACACCATGTAACGACCGCTCCGTTGGATTAAACGCGCGCCTAACTTTCGACGTTATTGCGTGCCAGCTCGTTCTCGCAATTTATATCGCCTTCTTAATTTTATTTCTCGCATCCTTGCTGTCTTCAAATTGTTATTAAATCGTTTCCTACGCTCGTCGAATGACATTAGAGCGATTCTTTATATTTTTTTTTTGCACCGATAACTAAAACGAACCGTCGGAGCGCGGTAGGTAGTCCTTGGAGACAAAAAGAGCCCGCTCGTTATGCTCGAAGGATATTAGAAGAGCTTCCAGCTTGCGTGGATGGTGTTCGTCTAACAGCAAGAAACGACAAGCAGCTGGCAGCCGAAAGCGATTACGCATAATATTACGACGTTGATCTCGGACACATGCCCCGAATTGGCTCGTTTGTTCGCGAAAATGCTAATTTCCCAAGTATTTATCGTTTGTCGGCTCGTCGTTTAATTTTCCATGCGAACCGCCCCCGTATTCTGTTCGCAGAAACTACAGAAACAAGATTGATGCGCGCCTACTCCGTCGTGGAAATTTGAAACTATTCGAATTAGGATCTACGAGTGACGAGCAGCGAGAAATTCAGTAATGCTAGCGGAGAAATAGTTGATCGGGAATTGAAAAGGGGTGAGGGAGAGGGGAAAGCATTTCCGTGGCAAGAGGGAAGCTGTCAGGCACTCGGTATCCACGGCAGGCGTGATGAGAAAAATGGAAATTTCATTCGCGTCAACGGCGAACGATACACGGTGCGCTTTTGAAAGCGTAACTCGACGCGTGCATGTCGTTATCGGGCTCGGAGTTTCTCCGTATCGTGTCGACCCTCTTTTTGCGTCGTTTTTCGCGTGCTCTCTGCCCCTCCGGTCGAACCGTAGCTCTACGCGTTTTCCGGAATTTTTTCCACCCGGGATTGAAAGAAAAATAATTCGAGCATACTTGGGATATTCCGCGGCGAGAGCCCCGGGAGCTTGGAATTATGCTTCCGCGAGCTTTTCGCGTTGGCGAGCAACGCGACACTCGCGAACGCTTCGAAAGTTTTGAATCTTCGTTCGTTCGTAGACCAGGAATGGGAAATCGACGCCCGGAAACGCGAATGCCCTGAAAAGAAACGCGCAGATTCGCAAAATTATTTATACGATCTCGACTTGTTAAGAAGTAGAGAAGAAAGCAACGTTTCCATTCGCGATTCTCGATATTCCGAGGAAATTTTCAGTCTCGCGCCACTGTCGTTCGCAGCCCCCTAAAACACGAGCCTCGTGCCCGTGGTGGTGGGGTCGTGGAATTGAAATGAAATTCCATCCTCGGGCCGCAGCTCCGTGGTTGAATTATTATCGGCCGGTAATCTCGCTAAAAAGTTCACCCTCGTTGAAACATCGCCATTTTTTTCGCTCAGTCTACGAGCAAAACGTAACGTTTCCGTTAACGACTCGTCGGGATCGATCTAACGCGAATCTAATGCGGATCCAAGTAGCATTCAAGATGTTCGATAAAAGAGGAACGATCTTTCTTTCGTGTCCGTGCGGCCCGTCTGCAACCTCGAGACCTTTGACCGATCGTATTAAAACCGGATTTACTCCGGTTGCGAAATCCGCCGCGAGCAAACCGGCATTTAATGGGCAAAAGCTCGTAAAGCGTTGGACGTTTTTTACATACGTACAATTAGAAAAATATACCTCGTTAATAAATGTCCTCCTCCCGTAAACATGTTAGTCACGCTTCGACTCGTCTAGATTCCAATTTGTTATCGCAAACCCTTTTTAGCCCCTCGATCATATTAATTCAGCGTCGCTCGCCGGAACTCGCGTTGTCTACATAATCATTAAGATAATCATCCATGTCGGCCACCACGATCGAGGGTATAGTAATCGATGTAGGGCATAAATTGGATATACGAAGATTCCCCCGGGCTACTACTCAAATGCGTTCTACTCAAATTTCCCTTTCTCCACGGTGTCCTTCGGTCTCGCTTGCGATCGATAACGATCGCGTTCGATCGTGATAATTGCTTTCTGTGTCGTTAATCATCGTGCACGGTGCAGGTGACCGTCGCGTCGAGTCGGTCAGGTGCCCATCGAAAGCAACACGTTTAGGAAACGCGCACGAGTGATTTATTGCGAACGACTGCGTCGATGATTGAAAGTTTCCCAATTAGTTGTAGCAAAAACGAATAAAATTATGTATCGAGATATTATTTTCTATCTCAAACCGTTTTCGACTGGTTTGTCTCGGTTGCGTGGGACCGTTGTAAAACTAGACGCGTCCCTGTGTCCCCGGTGAGAGTCGAGTCTTACGAAATTAATCGGGTCCGGCAGGAAGAGGAGTTTCTCCTCCCGCGGGAAGAAATAGACCCCGGCGATCGAAACGCGCGAGCCAGCCGAGTCAGACGCGGAACGAACGTCGATCGAATTATCGGGAAACACGATACAAGAGAGTAGAAGAGCAGGGCACCGCGGGGATTCTCCAGGGTTGGTTTCTCCGGCTGCCACCGGATATCCCCCTGATTTCTGACGACTAACGCGAGTCTGATGTTTGCGAGGGGAGCTCTACCGTGCGTACACGGCTACGCAACCCTTATCCGACCGCTCCGTATCGTTAGCCGTAGACAAAGGGTGTGTCGCCGAAATACGTGCCTCCAGGCGCCGCTAATTCTGCCGATAATAGATTTCATCCAGCTCGTCGTAACATTTTTCCCCATTTTCTGGCTGCTGGTTCGATGATCCAACGTCGCCCGCGTCTTATTACTTTCTTTCGACTGAGGAACTGTACGCGTTTAGAAAGTTCACAGTTATCTTGGACGAACAAAAGGTTTAGGTACCGTGCCACGCAATCTGACTGGAACTTCTGTCGCCAGGAATCTGACAATTGGTTAATTTCCGGTGCGCGTCAACACCAGGTGTAGCGTTTCACGCACGGATCGTACAAAGATGTCAGATGTTGCGAATACGTTGAATAAGCATTGAAATATCGCATAATGAGAATTAGCTATACGACCGGATATATAACACTGAACAACTTATGAATTTAAACAATGATGAAGCGTCAAACAAAAAATCAGAAACAAATTTAAAAAAAAAATATTGTCGGTTGTGGAGGTCAATTACAACCATTTTTGGTCTTTAGACACACTCCCGAAATCCTACACAGTTTCGAGAAAAAAATTCATTACTGAAAATATAATATAATGTCTGACCAGCGACCAGGAATATTCTACTGAAAAAGAGAAATTTTCAAATCATTCTAAAAAAAATATTTTCGGTTGCAGGGGTCAATTACAATCATTTTTGGTCAATAGATACATATCCGAAATCTTATTCAGTTTCGAGAAAAAAAACTCCTTAGTGAAAATATAATGTGTGGCCAGAAATTATTGCGAAGCCAATCGTGAACCGTGAAACAATGCGGTGCTTCTATGTCGTCTGAGGTCTTCTTTACTAGGCTGCTAAAACTGTCAGCCACAGAACCCCAATGCTCTCCCATAAATTCCCGGAGGACGATCCCCGAACTCGAAGGTTTCGCAAGATGAATACTCGTAGTCGTGGTTACGCGAGCAAACGAATGTAGTCGGAGTACAGGAAGAGGTTGGTTTCCTTGTTTCCTACGGTCTGCGCCCAGCACATGTTTCAGAGACTCTTGAGCGCGATAAAACGCAGACATCGATTCGGTAACTATCACATTGTACCGCGATACCGGTCTGTAACGATCGGTTACTAATTAAGCAACGAAACCTCCCCGATTCAATTTGTGCCACGAATAAGGTAGTAAATAGCGGAATAATATCCACCAAGAAAATTGTAGAATCTCGTTGTGGCCTCCTCGACGAACGTAAACGTAACTCTAAAGCGGTCAGATCCCAGCCGGCCTCTGCCAGATCCAGCCAGTCGCGTTGCTGAGAAATTTTGCGAGCCAGCGAAATTTATACGAATTCGATGGGGATCCGTGGTGGAATCTGGCCTGAAATCCCGGGTCCCCTCGTCGAACGCGGGCAAAACCGGGAGCAGGTAGCGCCGAAAACCGACGCGAGGGGAAAAGTAATTTATGGCGGCGGACGAGTCTGTCCCGCTGCCATTAATGCAGCTAGCGGTCGAAAGTGAATCTTGTTAGAATTGCAGCGCGCCGGTATCGGTACGATAATTCGCGTTGTCGCCTACGAGGATCCTGCTAATATTCGGAGCGATGCTCTTTTGTCATTTATCTGGCAAGGACGGTCCATTAATTTTCGCGCTTCGTTACCTCCGCCGTAGGGAGAGGAGAGCTTGGTAATCGTTTGAATGTTAATACTACATTGACTCTGACCAGCCAGCGTATGATCGATCAACGTGCAAATTTACTTGTATTATCCACGTTACTACTGTTGGTTGTCGATTGCTTCTGTTTACTCGCCACCTCCATCGAGTTCAGCCTTTGTATCTATTTTATCGGCAAGAGATAGTGGTAATTTTTAGATTTCGTTCATCGAGCGTCGCCCTGCTTGTCCGGGCGAAAAGATAGACTGTGGTCGGTCGAAGAAAACGAGAGAACCGAGAGCGTTCGGCATTGGGAAACGTAATTGGGATGATTACGCTT